GATTTGAAAAATGTTTTTGTAGTTCACTAGTTATTTTATTGCTTTATTTTGTGTAATTCTTTGTATATGTTTGTTAATAATATTATTTTTTTTTAATTGTTTATAGTTTGTATGATTTTGTTGTGACTGCTGCTTTGGCTGCCAGTTGGCTTGTGTTGTTCCACGTTGCTTAGTTGAGTTTGCACTGAGCTTGTCTTCAGCGAGGCGGTTGCTTTTATTGGCGGCCAAATGAAACTCACCACAGACAGGCTGACTGAATAGCGGCTGAGCAGCTGCCCAACCCCATATAAGGTTGGCTAGCAGTGTTGGCAGGATACAAATATTTACAGGTGCGCGGCTGTCGGGGGTGAGTGACTACCCCATAAAGCCTTCTCAGCTTAAGCGGCATGCACTTGCAAAAAACTTTGGCTAACTCCAAAGGAATTTTTAACTAAGAATGGATAGTAATACTAGGCATTCATACTTTGGTATTTATTATTTTAAATCTTCTTATGCACCTTAATTAAAGTTTTACTGTTTATTAATTACAATAATTTATTTTTTTTAATTATTTTAGAGATTTCTCTTATTTTTTATTAATTTACAGCATGCTCGGCACAGTCTGGCAACTCTATTGAAAAAGCTCTTATTCCTGGCGCTCTCGCAAAGACAGAGCTTTTACGTGCCAAAACAAAAACGCACATATACCCGCACACATACACACAGAAGCGTGCACATGTCAATGCGGCTTGAGTGGGTCCCCCTACAATTTACAACTGTGGTGAATATGGAAATGTTGTTGTTGCCGCGGCCGCGTGTCGCGTGCGAAGAAGCTTATGAAGAAGAGGAGCAAGAAGGCGAATAAGAAGCAGTAACAGTAACAGAAGCAGGAGAGGCAGCAGCAGCAGCAGCCGTAGCTTTGGGCCAAACCCAAACAACGTGAAAAAGAACGAAAACAATGCAAACAAAAATTTGCGCTTTTACGATGCCAAACGCCATCGTCAACATGAACATCAACATCGGCGTCATTTCAGTGGAATCAGCCATAGCTCATTATTGTCATCATTTGTGAGTTCTTTCTAACCTTTTTCTTTTTTAAAATTTATGCTTTTGTTCTGGGGTCGTCCTACTTAGGCTTAGGCTCAGCCAGTACCGAAAAGTGCGCTCGAATTTTTGGCCATGTTTGTGTAGTTTGCCACGCTTCTGGCCACACTTTGCGCAAAGCTACAAACTACCGAGCACACGGCACAACATGGCGTATGCGTAATTATAATTGAAAATTTCGTGCAAACGTTTTATGAGTCTAAAATCACCCTCGGCGCCTTCGTTTAACCGGCAACTGTTGTTTGCTACACAATATTTGTCGAACACTTTTATTTGTCGAACATGAAAGCAATTTGGTGTTGCTCCTGCTTGTTAATCAAATGACAAGTGCTATGAATTCCAGCTGCTTTCACAGCTTAAATTAATTGAAATATATAATAATAGGATGCTGCGGATGAAATGTAATTTAAATTCATCGGATTTCAATGTTGTCACTTAAGCTGTCTATAATTTAACTGCGCCGTTAATTATATTTATTGGGCTTTATTTACTTATATTATCTCTGGGTAAGCTGATTTGAAACGAGCTCTGGTTAGTCTATTAACTCTTTTATACGGAAACTGGCCAAAACTTATATGGAGCTAATGTTGTGGAAAAGAAAAACAATAATTGACGATAAATTAAGGTGAACAAATGAGCTAGTATTAAGATATGGTCCAAAATAACATTTGTGTTGTGAAAGCACAACCTATAATTAGGCAAACGACCATACTCAGCTGTCAAGCGTAAGCCCCGCAGTTCCATTAATAGGTTTCATTTCCATTTGTCAGTTGCACTCAGAACGATTTTACTTTTTAGTCAACGTCCACAGCTAAAGAACTGCATAATAGTTGAGTCACATAACTGGCAAGTGCGCGTCAAGAGTGTCAACACGCATTTGACATGGCCAACGTCAGCGCTGCAGAGTTCAGATGAAGTATATGCAATATTTTGCATTGTATTTTCATTACATAATCAAACGGTATACGCAATTGCATGACGCACAATCCCTTTTTGACATCAATACCTCTATTTTCAATGCAATTCGAAGAATAGCTCACGCAATGAATCCCCATGAAAAGTTGTGCTGCTGTTGCTCAGTGCAATCAAATTAAAATTGAAATATGCCCCAAAGCACAGGTAATTTGTATAGAAAGGTAAAACGTATATCAATCAAAAGCTTTGCGCAATATGATGACTGATTGAAATACTTTGATGTAGTAGTTGACGAGTTGAGTAGTTGTTCAGTTTTAAAATTCTTTGTGAAAGTTTTGATAAATTTGCTTTCATTATTTTATCGCTTGATTTAGTTTGAAATATGTGTGCGCATACTGCTGAAGCTGGCAGCTCCATTGGATAATAAATACGTATGAACTTTACATATGATTTTAATAAACGTAGAGAACACAGATGGAAAGCAGCTTAAGGTCTTTCATTTTTAACATCCTAGGAACCTAAATATGGGAGGTACATTTTGAAACCACATACAAATGTACTATAGGTACTCAATTTAAAATATATGTTTTGGTAGATAATAACAAAAACTTTCATAAAATGTTAATTAATATGTTAAGACTTGTTGACAAAATTTTTAAATATATATATATACATATATATATATATATATATATATATATATATATATATATATATATATATATATATATATATATGTATATATTATAATAAGCTACTTATTATAAATCCAATAATATGGATTATTATTAAATACTGATTTAGGATCATATCTATTATAGAAGAAAATCTTTTAAATACAAATAAACTACTTGAAATATGCATTTGATTAAAATCTGTCAAATAGCTGGATATTACTGCCAAGGATTAAAATTCTTAACTCTACCTAAATGAAGTTAAATCATGTTGCTTGCTGTACTGTTTCATTTTGATCAATTGATGCTGTCCTTGAACAATTAGTTCATCATGCGCTGTAGTCAGTAGCCCTAACGTCGGCTCACTCTGAAGTAGTTACAGACAGTTTGCCCTGCTGTCAGCCAGTTCAGGACAATAGTCCTTGAACATTGCATTGATGACCCTATTTGGGCAACACACTTGAGCGGCTGAATGTAATCAACTTTGTTTAACTAGTAAATGGTAACTGGCAACTGGCAACAGGCAACTGGTAACTGGGTTTCAGTAACAACCGAGGATTTGTCTGCTAATTAGCTTCGTTATGTTGATTAATGATCTGGGCAGGAAAATTAACAATAGCGCGTTAATTCGGCACATTGAAGTTTAGGACGCGTTCGAGCTCTGGAGTCCTCTAATCTTATCGTTTGGGCCAAGGTAAAGACAAGATACATAATTTGGCTTTGTGTCTGTGATGCATATCGGCATTTTTAACATAAATTTACCGAAAATCGATTTGAAGCAGGTTGATTAAATTATGGGATTGTGAAACATTTCTTATTTGTGCACAGAGTGCACGTTTGGCGCGCTGCACGCCATAAACCAATTTGGGCGTCAGCCAGAACATCTCTCACCTGACAGAGTCGCCCACCCTGTCGCCGCACAACTACCCTATTTCAATTTGAGACTCAACCGATCCGTGACTTGCTGCCCTGCAGCGTTATTGCCGTTTGTCATTGTTTGCTTTCAAGTCGCGGTAATTTCATTTTGTAATTGTAGACGATGGCAATTCAAAGGTGAAATAATGCTAGTAAATGCCAAAAGGTCAGCTTTGGCAGCGTTTCTAGAATCAATCAATGGCAGCTGCGCACTTGGCATCTTTTATCAATGGCTTTTCTTCGTGTGCAGCGCCAACCTAATTGCCGGGAAATCGCATGGGCCACAAATAACGAATTCAATGCGCCCCATCCTGTGCCGGATGCTGCTGCGTTACGAATACGCCGCATGGCAGCGCAGCTGTTCGATTGGCAATTAGGCGGCAGTAATGCAACTGAAAAGCTCCAATTTGATTATTTTCCTTTATGGTTAGCAAAGGGTATGCACTGTTTTCAATTCATTTCGAAGGACTCAACGGCAGAATGCAACGTGCTGCTCGCTAAATTGTGTTTTAACCTACTTTGTTGCCAACACAACAAACTCTGCAGTTGCAATTTAAGTTGAACAAAAAATAGGGCAAGCAACTAGCGAGAATCTAATAAAAATGAATTAGCCGACTAAAAGGCAACACAACATGTTCTGGACAGAGTTAAAGGTTACTCAAAGTGCATAATAATTATTTAAGTATTCCCTCGATGTGACATATTAAATACATAAATAAATATATTATACAAGGCACAAAACAACAACTCAATGTGCATAGTAATTGCTAAAGTATTACTTTTACTCTGACAAATTATGATAACATATAATAAATTTTTTGTAAAGTTTGTTTAATTCTGTATATATGAAACATGTGTCAAATACTTGTCCAACTGTGGCAAAACATGTTTTTAATAGGTTCAAAGCGGGGGCAATGTTTTCGTTGTCATTAAACAAGAATATAGATTTATATATAAGTATATGATGAAAAAGTTTGATAGGGTCTGATGCGTATAAGGCCCCTTTTGTTTAGTTTTTAAGCTACATGGATGGAATGAATAATTTTTAAGTAATCAATAATTAAACTGTCTGTTTATATATTTTTATTAATATTCATATATACATATATATATTTCTGGACGAATATTTCTGTAAAAAAAACTCTCAGACAATTAGGGAAAAGTGAATTTATCCCTGTTGCTAAGCTGTTTTAAATGCCAACATAAAAAAACGGTAAAAGGCGAATAAAAAACAGTTGAATGGTTGAAAACATGTTCAATTGATGGTCTTTATTAAGGACTCAAATCGGTTATGAATCGAAACTCTTACAGTTTTCTAATTTTATTCTTTAAGTTCATTTCATATATTGCTCATATTTATATTGCTCAGCTTCAAGCCCACCTACTCATAAAAATAACAAATGATTTACTTACCTTAGAATCCTTGGCATAGTATAAATGATTGCGCTTTAAGCGAAAGTAGCGACGTCGCCAGCGTTGAAAGGACCAAGCATGCTTCAGCAAATAGCCCTCCTTAATAATAGCCGCCTAGAAATCAGAAAGAAAAACACATCGAATATAAAATGAGTGCCAAGAAGTTGTAGCAGACAACACAAGCAGTCTATGAAATTTGCTCAGCAATTAGAATGCAGCTAAAAGTCATTGGCCAAGAATAATGAGCGCAGTGACAAGTAACCAGTCACAGGATATGCTGACACACGGAAACGCAGACACGCGGACACGTAGACTTAGGACATCGCTTGCAATTCTCAGCCAAGTGTCAATATTAATTGGCTGCAGGATAACAAAAGCAGCTGGGTGTGGCGTCTATGCGGCCAGCAATCAATTGTGCAAACAAAGGACAATCACACACAAACACAGGCACATACCATACAGACACACAATCAGGGGCACAGTCACCTCGTTGACCGGGCTTTTATTTGATTTCGCTGCGCTTGCAAGTTGTGTTTGCTTGCTGTATATGAAAGTGTGAATAAGCGTTAAGCGAACCGCTTGCAGAATAAACGCGTTCAATCCTATTGACAAATGAATCAATTGATTTGAATTTTGATGGGCACTTTGAAGCGCAATAACGACGCACAATCAAAATGCAGTTAAATTTCAATTGATGCTGGCTTAGAAGGACAAATGCAATTGGTACGGGCTAAGCGGAAACTCTGGCAATTGCAAGGCCGACAACAAAATGAAAATGAAGCACTTTTTTTTCTCTGTTACTTTCATTTTATTTCATTTTGTTGTTGCTCTCCTTGTTTGTACTTCGAAAAGGAAACGGAAATGTTTGCTTAGCTGCATTTGATTTCATACGTGGCCTTGGACCTCAAGTTGTTCGGTTGCTTAACTTTATGGTTTTAACAAGTGTTTTGACCATGAGCAATCTGTTTTTAGCGCCAACTTATTTTGGGTATTCGATTATTTACTGCCAAAAATATTTGGTTATATATTTATATATGCGTATATTATATATTGATTAGCCGGCTCGAGGTCAATCAATATATAAATATATTTATCATACATATATATTTATCATGTTCATATGTTCGATGAAATTTTTTTTTATTAAGTCGGTTCTAAATAATGTAATTAACATATGTAAAATCAAACATTGCTTGTTTAAGGATCACAGCATCTAAACCATTTTTATCTATATAACTTCAAATTATTCATTTTTAAGCAATTGAAGAGCTTTACTTTGACTTTTGTGCAAATTCCATTTCCTGGGCATACCAAGCCAATTTGGTAGTTCTATCTATATTGCGCTGTCGAGTTACCCATGTGACTCAAGCCAAACTAAAGTTTAAATTTTGTAGCATAGTTTTTTGTGCGTAAGCTGATTAGCTTTTACTTTTACTGCACTTTATTGCAGCTCGATACTTTTCATGGTTTCCTTTTAACTAAGTATACTGAATTCTAATTCCTCCTTGCTTTGGAATTTCTACTAGAAAATGTTGCCTATTATTTTAATGTCTTTTAAGTTTATTGCCCCTAGATTTCAATTTATTTATTTTTGCTACTTTTCTAGGGCTCAGATTCAATTTCATTGATATATGGATGTGATTCATAATAAACATATGCATTCCAATTATTTGTTTGCTCGAGTCATAGCCGGGTTGAACGAACTCGAAAGTTATGCGGCCTTCAGCGAGCAAAATTTAAAAGTTGACATCAATGTAAGCTAACGCCCACTCAAGCTCGGCCCACACTCATGGTATTTGCTGGCCAATGCTCGCAAGTTTAACTAAAAATCAAAGTTTTCCCGCTTCCCTTTCAGATCAGCTCACATCAATCAATCATTATTTTCATTGGCCACACACACACACACTCACGATGGCTATCACGGGCCAAATCAGGCAGCATATCACGTATACGTCAAGTTGCCAGGCAGAAATAATAAAAATAAAATAAAAGTAACAACAAGAATTTCAGCAGGCGCAACGAGCCTTACGATGATATACGTATTTGAAAATTTCGTTAGCCGGTTATTGATTTTAAGTTAATGCGGCAGCGGCCAAGTAAATAAAAGCCGGTCCAGGCCATCGATACACAGATATCCAGAGACAATGAACTGTTGTTGTTTGTTTTTCTTGCTACTCTCACTTTATTTGGGGGCAGCGTGACGCCCACACACGCGCGCATACACACACATACACACACACACGCACACAGACAGACAGACTAATACGCACAATGTAAACATAACGTAAACGTTGCCTCTCACACTTTTCGGCTCTATTTTCCGGCTCGCTTTGATTATTTCAACGTACGTTTTGCCTCGTTATTTATTGCAATCGCATGTTTTCACTAACAATTTCGCGCTAAACGTAGTGGACTTTTGTTTTATTTACGAAGAGGCAAAACAAAGCGTAACATTAAATTATATCAGACTGGAAATTATATATTAAATTAGCTTTTGCAGTCACGTGTGCTGTGGCGCAGTCAATTGACTGTGTAAATAGTCGTAAATATTTAAGATGGCGCCAAAGTTTCCTATGCAACAACACACAATACACACACACACACACACACACACACACACACACACACACACACACTCTTATGCACACATAGACATATCTGGTAACTGTATCTGCGTGGCTGGCGTGTATCTTGAGGATACTGCGGCAAGTCTACAAGTGGCAGACATTGTGCCACAACAAAAACAAAGAATTTTCAATCTTTGCAAAGTTAAAGGGAGCTGCCGTTGTTTTTTGTTGTCTTTTAAATGGTTGGCCGTGAATCACAGACTAAGACAGGGGTAACAGACACAGACAAAAGTACAAAGCCAGCCAAAGTTGTGTTGAAATTCTGCACAGGTCTTTATGTTTTTTTTTGTGTGGATAATTTATTAAGTATCAGTTTCATCTTTTAGGTGCATATTTTCTATTATTAAAGCTGGCCTTAGAGATGCTGATTAACATGAGGTAAATATTTTTATATAAAAAGGAATTTTAAAATGTTTAGCGTATTAAAGTTAAAAATTGAAGCTGACGACAACTTTTTTTTTAAGATCCCAGCTTGCATGTTTAAATCAGGTTAAATATAAATAGGTTTCAAACTGCTTTAAAGCAGATTTTAAACTAGGTCCATGCAAATATTCAGTTTAGTCTAATATGCATGGATAGTAAGCCCATTAGATCTAATTTAAGACAGCTCTCAGCTCAAAATTATTTACAAAATAATATTAGTTATGAATGTGCGTAAGAGGAATTAATGAACAGCATTGTTCAATTAGTTTCCCACACCTGCGACTCCACAACCGCAATTAAATTTAATTGTTGTGACCTTGCTATTCTTGCTATGAATGATTCTACATATAAACGCATGTATACATATACTTTTGTCGTGCCATGAGTTTTTCTTTGTATTTTTGCAGTTGTTGTGAAGTTGTTGCCGGCACGCGCGACCAACTCGCATTTAGAAGCTTTTGTTTAGCGTAACTTATTGTTTTGTGGTTTGACATATGTAAAACCCTCACAATAGCGCCTGCCTCGTCCCGCAGGAGCGCTCAAATGGCGCTGGTTTAGCATAGGGCATGGTTTACGTGGAGCACTTGACTGGAGCTGCAGCTTGTCACAATCAGACTAATGTATTTTATGTGTTCAAAACAACAACAACAACAAATAAATAAAAACAAAATAAAAACAAATAGATTACGAATGTAACCTGCCAGGTAACAAAACCAAGTGACAAATGTGCTCAATTTCAAAACAAATTGCGGGAAAAAACTTAAAAAAAAAAATGAAAACAAGAAAATGAATGAGTAATTGGAAAGGGTTGCCAGTGGGAATTTATGGTAAAAGTTTTTAGCATGCACATCTACGTATTATATTTCAAATATTAACTATGACAATGCCCGTCGTTTCAGTTGAGGTGCAGCTATAAATATATTCTATTCTAACTGGGGGAATAAAAAAAAACAACCCTTAGACGCAACGCGATGTGCAACGATGCGTATGATTATCATAAAATGGTCATATTACTCATACAACGCGTTGTCCACCTGATACCCCATAACGAAGGGCAATGAATAAAAAAATAATAAAATAAATATATACACAAATTTACTCTATACAAATAAATAAAGAACTGTGGGTAGCAGGAAAAGCTTAATTAAAGCGCTCATTTGGTTTGAAAAGCTGACCCTGTTGCATTTATAGGCTCTCGCATTTGGCGCGGCTTTTCTGACACTTATTTACGGTTTTTGACTTTGCAACTATGGTAACTTTTAATTAAAATGTATAAAGAACAGATTTGAAAGTCCGGTTTTTCGCGCTGCTTTTTTCTATGCTTGCGCCCGTCAAAATATAATTAATATGGGATTACGAAAAATAAAACTTAATGCATTCCTTTATTAATTTACATACTACCTAATTGCATTTCTGATTGGCGTTTTGGTGACTTCTAACAAATTATGTTTTGGTGCCGTAGTAATAATATTTAATTATCTTATTTCGTTAAGTCAACTTTAATACTTATATGATTAATGTTTTAATCCTACATTAGTTTGGCGTAATCTTAGCACAATTTTCACCAAAGTTGATGTCTGTCTGTCAAGACAAAGTCATTTCATTGCAAATTTGTGGAATTTGTGAACCTTGACCTAAGTTCTACGCTGGAATTGCAATACTAGAGAAGTCCTTTGCTATGTGCCCCCTAAGAGTTGTGTCACGTTTGCTTATGCGAACATTTAAAATATTTACTAACCACTTGAACGCAACAATTGTGAGCTGACCTTTTAACAGGAACAAACATAAACAGAAACACTCTAAAACAGAGTCCCTCCCCGCCATCCTAGACCGCATACATACATATGTATGTACGTTGGAGTGCGTCTGCACGGCGCGGCATGTAACTTCCGCTCCAGAAACTTGGCTGGTGATGTGCTCCCCACGACTGCAGCGCGACAAAAAGGCCACTGCAGGATAATAAAAAACAAGAGGAACAGTTTAATTGGATGCTCACCAGATTGTTGTTGCGCTTTATATTGGTGGACATGCGTCGATGAAATATGCGAGCCGGTTCCGTATCAATTTCCGACTCTGTCTCGGAGTCATCCCCATCCCGGCTAATCGATATGATCGGTATGATGGGCACCGGGGATATGCTGCCGGAGCTGCAGGCGCTGCTCAGCCCGCTGCTCAGGCTGCGCTGTCGCGGGCTTAGGCTGTCTACGTGCAGTGTATTTGGTTTTAAGTTAGCCATTGTTCAGGTTTATAGCTAAACTTTTTAACTAGCTGCTGTTGTTGCTGTTGACGCTGCTTTGTGCAAATTCCTTCGAATGCAGCAAAGCAAGTTTTACGTTGCACGTTTCACGCTCTACGCTTTACGCTGTACGCTTTTAGCTGTCACGTTGCATGAACAGCAGCGCGCTTAAGAGTTATATAAAGGAACCCTTTGTTGCGTAGCCGACATGTAGCCGCAGGTGGCCGTTTGAGCTGGCGTTGTCAGCGCTGCTGCTTTTCATGCTGCGATGCTTATGTAAAAATCCAAAACACGCACACACACATACACAGTCCTGCAAAGCAACTCTCTCTCAACACACAGACACACGCATATACTTTCTGATAGTAACTGACACGCCTTCTGTTATTTTTGACAGCATGCTGCGCTGCATTTAAAATACGTTAATTTCAATTATAATTTTTATTAATTAGTCTAAGGTGTGCATAAATAAACACGCTTATCGCACTAACAATACATTTAGCAAAAATACTGGCACACCAACTTGTATATACGTATATTTGATTAAAGTTTATATATGAATTGTATATATTTAATTATGCAACACTAACTATTTTTGTTTTGATTGAAAAATACCATTAATCTAACGCACACTCATATAGGTACATTTAGAAAAAACACACACACGCAAAATCGTTTGTACACAAAAAACAGTTCACAGTTTACACATAGATTTTAATTGATAAGTTTTCAGATTTTCTGTTTCTTAATAGAAAATACAAAAAGCGCTGGAAATTATTGTTGAATTTTTGCTTCGTTTTAAAGCCTATTTTATTCCGCTGGGTGGCCTGACTGCGAGCTGCGAGTTTGGTGCTGAGCCTGAGCCGCGCGGCGTACTGAACGACTCGGCAACCCTCACTGCTGGCAGCCTAGCGAGCACGGCATGGACCTTAGCCTGCTAGCATGGGCAGCCGTTGCCGTTATCCTGAGAGGGTTGTCAGGCGGCAATGAATATGGCAATAATAAAATGATAACAATCAAAAATATTACATCTTAGATGAACTGCAAGCTGCATTGTACTTTAAAACTGTGTTCTTATAGGTTTGTAGCTTATGTAAAGATTATTAATGCAAAATATGCAACATTAAATGGCGTACACATTTTTCTTCAGAACATACTTTCGACACTTTTAGAAGATACGGCAACTCTGTATCCCGAGAGCACAATAGCCTTCGACCAACAAGTTTTTTTGCTCTCTGCCTTTGCCGCAATTTTCTCGCAGGAAAACAGGCCCAGCCGCAGTTTTATTCTCTCTTATCCAACAGCTCTCTTACACACAAACACACACACACACACACATGGCAGCTAGAAGCTTTAAAAGCGGCCGCTAAATGCGAAGCTCACAACCATGCAAATGAAGCGAGCAAAACAAAAACACGCAAGCGGGATTGTATGTATAGCATAGATAACAAAAAAGTAAACAATAAAGCGCACATGCGAGAGAGAGAGACAGAGAGAGAGAGAGAGAGAGAGAGAGAGAGAGTAGGGCTATGGTGGTGCGGGTGCACAACAAGTCACAAGCCGCTAGGCAGACAGTTTTAGGGTAAGCTTTTTATTCGTTTTATTTTTCACTTTTCCGGTGTTGCGATTTGCCTGGGCTTTCGTTATTTACTTTGCTGTCGAGTTGCCTATGCTTCTTGTTGACATTGGTATTGTTGTTGTTTTGAGACTTGCACATCCCGTCGGGCATTATTCTTTACGCTTGGCTGCAGTTCCTTAAGGCCTCTGCAGCTAAGGCTACCTAAGTGCGTTTGCGTGTGTGTCAGAGCGCGTTGCTTGAGAATTTTTATTAAATTTTTAAATGAGACCATATTTGTTTTTCATTTTTTGTGGTTCTGCTTTTGAATGTCAAAAGCAGAAATGCCCAAAAAGAAAGAAAAGAAATATTTTGTATTACACAAAGGCATTTATATCTTGGCTTAAATTATGCAGCTATCATGGTCGGTGCAGCTGTCAAAGACCCAATCATAACGATCCGCATTGCATGTTTCATTTCTCATACCCTAAGGCAATTAAGGTAAATAAGCCTTTGGAGAGTACTGTACCACGATCTCAACCTACCCGTGGCAGCGTGAGGCAGCGTCGAAAACGCATGCACCGCCTGCCCGGCGCCTCGGGGTCCACCTGAGAAAACTCATAAAAAGTCGGGCACAGTAGAAGACCGCCCCAATCGCGTGGTACCGGCACTTCCTGCAACCGATCATTTCTGAAGTGATTGGCGAAATACTCCATGATCCTGCCGTAGATGCCGCTTTTTCTGCTTGGTATGCCGTGCATGCTGAGCTGTACTTCACGCGGATATCGGGCGAACTGCAGCTGTGCCTGCAGAGCGCACACGGGACTGACATGTCCGGCAATGTGTACACTGCGTCTCATGTGCGGCCAAAAGAACTGCAGCGACACATGAGGATTGTGGGTGATCTCGCCCGTCAGGCGACTGCCCAGCGTCGTATAGAATGTTAGCCCAGCGGCATTTATCTGCTCGACGTTGGTCATTCGCGTGACAGGCTGCCCGGCCATATCCACGGTGGCCAAACAGGCCATGCGAGGCTCGCACCGTGGCTCCTCATTCAGAGCCACCGTCAGCCAGTGTTGCAGAATGGCATACGGCTCCCGGATGGCGATGCTTGTGGCACACTTCTGCAATTCTGGGCAACTTTCCGATGCAACTCTGGCGGCTATTTTACGCATCGGACTTTGTTTGCGGCTGCGGGGTGTCAGCAAATGCAGCGCAGCTGCGACACCCCGAAGCCTCTGTTTTAAAGCTGGGCCCAGCTTCATTTGAACAAAAATTTTGATACTTACATGCCGAATATGTAAAGAGAATTTTAAATATTTAGTTATGAAAGCTGAGGAAGAGGTAGAGACGATATCTATGAATTGATCCCCTCTTGACACGAGAGCTACTTGAATAGTTCGCTGAGGAACCTTGCTTTAATTACAAGTTTTATTTTAGATCGCCTTTTTGGCGATGATATTTATGTGGGATTTAATCTAATCAAATTTTTTCTTTTGATTATTTTTCATTTTAATGCAATCGGTTCCAATTTTTTGATTATTAATTCATCTATCTTGTGTTTGTTTAGAAAATAATTGTGTTTTCAGACGACTGCCTTTTACGCTTCAACTTTCTGTATAAACTATGCCTTCGTTAGTAACTTTTACCCGTACAGTTTTTAAATCTTTTATAATTACGATAGTTTAGTTTTCAAAATCTTTTTATATATTCCTCATTACTAATTATTCTGGAAGACATTACAAATGCGCATCATCTACTATTCTTAGGCCTTGTTCCCCTTAGGGGGCCAAGCGCTCATAGACCCACCCGTTCTCTCCTTTGTGCACCAGCTGCCCATCGACCTCATCGGCTACTCCTTGGCCACGTCGAAAGCGTATGCGATCGTGTAGGCGATCCGTTTGGCCCTGCCAGAACTCTATGACACTGGGTCGCACCAGGTAGCCGCCCCAGTTGGGTAGCGGCACCTCGCCATCGGCTCCCAGTTTTGCTTTAATGCCCGCCTCCACCTCATCGAGGTAACTGCGTGAGGGTATGCGCTGACTCTGCGGACTGGCGGCGGCACCAATTTGACTCGCTCGCGGACGCTCGTGGAAGTACTTGAGGGATGCCTCGCGTGATATCTTCTCGGCGATGCCCTCAATGCGCACGCTGCGGCGCAGGGGCATCCAGTAGATGGCAATGGCCACATTTGCATTGCATGCAATATCCTCCGCTTTGCGACTACCGTAGTTGGTGAAGAATGTGAAGCCCTCGGCGCTGGCCTCCTTGACGAGCACAAAACGATTGGAGGGTTTGCCCGAGGCATCCACCGTGGCTAAGGCAGCGGCATTTGGCTCGATGATCTCCTTGGTATTTAGGGCGGCATCCAGCCAGTCGCGAAATAGGCAAAACGGATCCTTTACTTTTATGTTCTGCTCCAGAAAGGCATCCTTGCGTTCGTTATATTTCATGCGCAGCGCTAAAATGTACATTATTATATATCCATTTCAAAGGGTTTGCGGCCAATCCAGTTCTCACCCGAAAGTTGTTCAATGGAAGCGGATTGACTCATCTTGCGCACAATTAGGAGTGGCCTCACTATGTTTTGGGTTGGGCTATAATTAATAGGCGTTGCTTTATTTAAAGTAACAGCAACGTACTTGTCGAAGGTCAAATTAAATTCTTAAACTTAGTACTTTGTTGATTAGTTCGCTGCAATCTTGCGATGCGATATGAATAAAACAGCTGTTTACACCAGACAACAGTGCTGCCACACTGTTGAATTTGGTTGCTTGAAACGTGCTAAAAAATACCAAAACTAACTTCTGTTCAGCGGTGTGTGGAGGCAACTGCCACGCTGCGCAAAGCCTAAAAGTACACCATATATTTATATTATTATTAAAATTTGTTTAACGTTTTAACTGCTAGATAAAGTAATAATATATATTTGTTCACATAATTTGACAGCTCTGCCAAAGAGTGATAAGTAAACCGCCAAACCATGAATAAAAGCAAAGCAGTTACGTTCTTGCGCGAGCGTATATGTGTTGAGTGTGTGCAAGTGTGTGAGAGAGTGAGAGAGCGCATACGTCTATGCGCTGGTGTTTTGTTCTGTGTGCTGCTGCCGAGACTTCCTCTGTTGGCTTAAGTCCTATCTGCCTTTCGTATACGAACAGAGAACAGAACAATTTCAACACGAGCGGCTGCTGGACGTGTGCGAAAGTAAAGCGCATAGAGTGCGAAACGCAAGCGAGAAAATATAGAGAAAGGCTAAAGCGGGACATACACACAAACACTGAAGCACCCAATGAACACACACACACACACACACAAGTAGAAATTAATGATACACAAATAAGTTGAATACGAAAACGCTAAAAATTGAAAAGCCTAACTCAATAAGAGTTAGTTCTAGTAACGCTTGTTGTTTGGATTGTGCGTAAAAACGTTTTGCGATTTTGTGCAACAATAAAGTAGGTTAAATACGAAAGCTCATCGAAAATTAATTCTTTGGAGGTCGCTCGTAAAAGCGTTATTTAGTAGTGAAAAAAGCGTTGCAGACGTCGGCTGCATGTGTGTATGCGGCGGGGCAGCAGTGAAAAAATGCAGTGCAGCAGCAAAAACAAAAACGAAGCAAAGCAAATGGCTTGATAGGCGACTAAAAATATACAAATTTCAATTCAATTGAAAAATAACCAAAAGCGAACGTGATATTTTATACCTGTGGCCTGTTTTTAATCAAAGCCAAGCACACACTCACACGGACACACACGGAAACACTAGAACACACATACACACGCGACACACACGAATACACACGCAAACTATATAGCAATATATGCCCATTGAGTGCCTTATATCATTTGATAATAATCCACAAGGTGTCTACTATGCCGGACAGGAGCTATCTGGCGTTGTTGATCTTAGCGTCGATGCCACCAAGCGCATTAAAGGTAAGCAGACACCAAATACCCTACCCAAAACTTACCTACCCTAACCCACTCCTCTCCTTACTTCACACACGCACACACACACACACACACTCACACACGTGACTCACGCGGCTTCTGAGTAACGTGCCGCTTGGGTCGTACATTTGCACTGAAACCCCATTTGAATTGTCGAAGGACACGCGCTAATGTCCTTATTAAATTGTATCTCTCAGCGCTCAAATATCAAACCTAACCTCACATATAATTGTCGCCATTTTGAATGTGCTATGCAATTAATTGTTGTTGTTGATGTTGTTGTTGTTGTTGCTGCTGTTGCCATTGTTGTTGTCGCATGTCCCCGCTGAGTTGACTCGTTGAGCTCGTTACCGTTATTTGCCCGCTGCACAGTCAGTTGTTTGCCATTCTCCCTTTAGTTTCCCTCATGTTGTTGTTGTTGTCATTTTGTGTAACGTCTGTTTTGGCATGCCGCCATTTTTTATTTATCCATGAACTCGTTAAAGGCGTGGTAAGTGCAATCCATTTTTTGTTGTTGCCGTTGTCATTGTCGTTGTAGATGATGACGATAAAGTTGTCCGTGTGCATTTTAATTTTGCGGTAATAAGTTTTGTCGTCTGACATTTCAGTTGATTAGTTTGCTGAAAGGGCCACTTAGGAGCAATGGAAATGTACGAGAACTTCATTTACCAGAAAATAAACTTGATTAGTTACTAAGAGCTATGGGAGTACACCAATATTTAGATTGACTCTTGTATTATTGTTATTATTATTAATACATGAACGAGTAAGAAAAAATAAAATCGAACTTGATTAATTCAGGGTCATTTGAGAATTTGGGGTTTATTTTTTTTTTTAATCATTTATTCAATTCAAAACCTTGTTCTACCCTCTCAATTTTTTACAAAGCTACGCAAATAAAACAAAATAAATAAAGCTATATTTTTGTATATCCCAAAATGCGTTTTCCCCTTACAAACATTCACTATGCAGTTTCCATTCCTTCAGAATTACATACTCTATAAATTAAATACATATTTTATCAAAATTCAACGCCCACATAAACGTCAACTCTTCAAAATAACGCACATATCGTTCATGGTAACTCATTATATTATTACTTTAAATTTTTATGTAACTTTTTAATATGTTTATTATATATTTATTAATACAAACGTTTTTCGATTATTAAAATGTTTTTTCCAATTTATTATTTCTCCAAACTTGCTGCTGTACATTACATTAATACAGCTTCAATATAATTTGTCGTTTTATTCAATATACATCTGATTTTTTCCCCTGCTTAACTCTTTCTCACTTCAGGCATTCATGTCACCGTCAGCGGTTATGCCAAGATACGCTGGATAAAAAAGGGATATCCGCGGGACAGCGAACGCGCCATGTGCCGTGCCTATCGATCGTATCTGTCATCGAGATCGTATGTCCTTGGCTCGTGTGCGGGCAACTCGTGCATCGATTGGCTGGCCGGCGAATATTCGTACACGTTTCATGTCATACTGCCCGACAATCTGCCCACATCCTTTGATGGCAAATATGGCCAGATACATTATGAGATCATAACGACGATCGAACGATCGGGTCGCTACCCGAAAGTGTTTAAGCTGCCATTTACCGTGATACAACCGTTGGATCTGAATGCAGATGCTATATACAGGGTAAGCCACTCCCGAGCTAAAGGTTTCTGAGTTTTATAAATGGAATATTTAAAAGGTGCCGCTGGAGATACTCGATCGCAAGCGCTTCTGGAGCTTTTGCTGCCCAACCGGGCCACTGACGGTCAAATTTTCAACACCTTATTGCGGCTATGCACCCGGCCAGAAGATACATTTTGTGCTGTACATCAACAACGAGTCGTCGATCGATATAACCGAATGCGAAGTTAAGCTGAAGCAGGAGGTTAGCTATGAATCGCACGATCCCCAGCACGAATATCGCTATGATAAGCATCTGATAGCTTTGAAGCAGTTCGGCAACGTGTTGCGCTGGTCGAGAAAAGTCTACAGGGGCTATTTGGATCTGCCCTCGATACCGCCGACATCGGTGAAGCCGACCTGCCCCATTAGCGTTAACTATTCAATTAAGATTATTGTGAATCCAACCGAATTCCATTGGAAGCTGAAACTCAAAATACCGCTGACCATCGGCAGTATACCCATCATGGATGGACCCGATGCCCTGTTACGTTTCAATCGACGGCAGCAGCAGCATCAAGTGGTTAGCCAAAATTTTCAAATGTCAACGCAGCAGAACCAAAGGCAACGGCCACAGCAGCGAAGCCAACCAAACAGCAGCAGCAACAACAGCAGCAGCAGCAACAACAACAACAACAACAACAACAGCAACAATCAGGCAACACAGGCCATGCTACGCTCGGGTGCAACACTGCCGGCCCAAACAAGTCCCTCATCAACGCCAACGACTGCCGCCCTGAGGCCCATGGCCGCAATGCCAGCAATATTAGTAACCAGCGATAGCGATAGTCCCCCAGATTATATACCCATGAGTAAGACAAAAAAACTGGAATAGCTATATAAGACCCAATTGGTCCTTAGAAAACATGCACCCTCCTTTTTGCAGTAGTAAAATAAAGCTTTAGTCTACCTTGAGAAACAAAATGTGTTAAGCATAGAAAAACATTTTAATCCTGAGGAAGCTTTATGGTAAATAAATCTGTAATCGATAAATATTTTATAAAAAAAAAATGTAGTTCGCGACGTTTTTATCCAAGAAAAGTATTGCATAGACTCTAGACTGTAGAACTTTATCATAAAAACTTTGTTGCAATACTTTAGAAAAACCTTTGCACAAATTAAACATAAGTAATATTTCCTATTATTCAGTTTATATTCCAGATTTGTCTAATATTGATCTCTATCATTAATTGCAGTGCCGCCCTCGTATGAAGATGCCATGGCGCTGAGCGAAAAATTTAGCGACGATATTGAATTCCTGACTAATGTTAGCATGAGCAGCATTATGTCCGCTCAGGGCGATGTAACAAGTGAGCGTGAGCCCTTTAAACCGCGTTACCCGGTCTATTACGATTATGAGACACCGACCATACCGCCCGGTAGTGATGATTCCACTGAATCCGACACATAAACCCAAATTGTTACAAAGAACTGTTGCAAAAAAAAAAAAACAAAAAAAGAATAACTCAAAAGCAAAGCAAAACTAAACAAATTGAATGGCTGAGTGGCATTTTATTCAAATTAATTTCTTTTATTCCCTTCCATTTAAAAGTAGTTAGATCAAATATTTCTGTAAGCTTAAGAACTGCAAAGTGTTGGGCTTTGATTTTGGGTAGATTCAATAAAAGAAAAAGATGCCTTATCACTGTCCGATCGCTATAAAGTTTTTTAATTAAATTTAAACTGCAAGTGCCTGAAACTAAATATAACTCGAGATGTCCGCTTTAAAAACAACAACTAATTTTAAGATTTTTATAAAGTTTTTATACACACAATATACGTAGTTAAAGAACCAGAGTCTTTTAAATCAGTAAATTTTAGTATACAAAAATATAGAAATTAATATTTAAATTAGCTAAAATTTTACAGATTTTTAAAGTCTGGCTTCAAACTCTATGCTGTGTATATAAATCTTATACATCTGCTTATATATCATATATATATATATTCCTTATCTGTTTTATCTGCTTCCATCCTTACCAAATTCTAGTTGTGTTTTTTGTGCGTTCCGACCTTCATATGAACCAAATCTCAATGCTTTGCAGTGCATATTGAATAACTTTTTATTCCTTAAAATTTAATAATAAATTGCACGTCGAAAGAAAGCAAATCACATATTCACACTTAATATGTATGCTCCCTTGTTTCTTTTATTCATTAAAATTTCGAAAAATTTAAATTAAACATATACATTTAAAAAATTAATTATATATCATATATTAAAATTGATGTAATTTGTGCTTAGCAATTAAGTTGACAAAATTATTTTGTATTCAATAAGAGTTTGTCATAGCTTTATTCACTTGAATTAATTAGTTTGCATTTTTCTGGAAACAAATTACTTCTAGTTGTAAGCCAAACCAAAGCGTCTCACAAATATACTTAAATTGTACATTTATTCTCTTGTTACCGCTCCCCATTCCCAAAAATACATGCAACATTTTGCCTGATTTGAACAACGAACAGAGACACTCTACAGTGAAACCTCGAATACACAATTTCGCTGTGGAGTGCAGCAGGAAGGGGTCTTGGCAACGGATGCAAATGGAGCAAATACCCAAGGAACTGCTGAGCCAATGAACTATGAGAAGAAATAATTGAAGAACACCAACAACAACAAACATATTTAATCGAAAATCAAAAATAATCTCGGAAGCACATTCAAAATTCATGGCGCGAATATAGTTTTTAAGTCTGATCTGATGAAATTCGTTTAACAGCATAATACAAAAGATATTTTTGCAAAATAACAGCATTACTCATGTATTGCGCGCATAAATTAATCGTAATCTATTTAACTTACATATGTAAAATCTATTTAAAACTATTGTTTATTATTTTAATATTTGTTTATTTCAAAATGATTTGTACATTTTTTGAGTAACTTCCTTCCTAACTTTAGCTTTAAGGGAATCATCTTGAATCATATTCAAAATTAATTTAAATTTATTTTCTATATTATGGCTGAAACTTTAGGAAAGAAAAATAATTAATAATTGTATGGCATCATACGATAAAAAAATAATCACCGTAGTTAAACCCTACTTAGACAAACTTTTAGGCTTAAGCAAAGTATATAACAATTTGCACAATTTTACCAAGAAAAACAGCAACAACTTAACATTTTCAATGTTTATAATGACTAAGAAAAATTTTACACAACACTTCAATTTACTGAATAAAAAATTATATTTCAATTTGTATTGATTTATGTCCAATCCTAACTAATTAAATATACTTAAATTGTTCGTAAATTTGTCTTATATATCTCAATTTAGTTAATTTTACAACTATTTCTATAATGTTTATGAACTCTGTGTACTTCCTATAATTTGTAACCAGTCTAGCCAGTAGTACTCTTAAGAAATACTCTGTCTTCAATTAATTCAAATTAAACCAAAAATGGAACAATATACTATATAAATATATTTATATATATTATTATGTGTATATCCGAATTAAAGTGTGTTTAAATTTTTATCGTCTTTTTATTATTATTTGGTAACAAAAACGAAACTCAATTTATGGGAGCTCAATGAACTGTTTGAGACTGGATTTGCTTAGGTTGCTTGGTAGGTAAAGTATTTGTTAAAAATAAGTACAAACAAATAATTATTGTTAACGATTTTTTTGCATACGTTGGAGTTCAATATAAGTATGATAACAAGCTCGTTGCTTTACTTTAATAAACTTTACAACTTACGCGATGCTGTTTACCCTTTGAAATATATTTGTAGATGGGGTAATATAAGACGTTGTAAGTGTATGACATAGCAGTCAACTTAGATCATATCAAATAGATATATTTTAACGCTGCAATACGTATGACGATGCATTCTTATCAACTGAATCCAATTATCTAAGGATCTATAGTCGCTATGGATTAAAAACAACGTTTATTACTTTGGGTGCAGGGTGTATTTTTAATTAGTTTTAGCAGCTGTTGAACCATTAACATAGCCATATGTAGGAGTCTAGACGAGCTCTAGAACTTACAAACTTGGCTTTTGTTTTTGTTTTTACTTAAAGGAATATTTTTTTTAATTAAAAGAATATTTTTTATACTTGTTGAAACATTTGAGAAACTAATTAAAAATATACAGCATTCAATAAACTTTAAGGTTTAGCGCTTGACTCAGACATTTTTTAAAATATATATTCTTTAATTACTTTTTATCTTAAGGCCATGTAAAAAGATTTGCTAAGTGTTAAAAGAACATTTGTTATTATATTAAAGCGCACCAGAAACTGATAATAAATACAATATTTGAAAATATAATACGAAAAGAGTATTAAAAGAAAATATGTCAAGAAATATATTGATTTAATTAAAATGCATCTTTAGGGCACGTAGAGTATAGTTAAGTCTTTAAAGAATATTTGTTACACTTTTTAGAACAACGTAGAACGTATTTCTAGGTCTTAAATAACATTTGGTTTATTTTAAATGGCAACAGATTGTTTTTAATAAAATATCATATTTACGGCGTGTACAGAGTATTAATAAGTCTAAGGCAATATATGTTTTTTTTTCAGTACATTAGAAACCTATTAAAAAAATAAATTACATTTAATTAATTTTATTGTACATTGTAAAGAGTATAACAAAATCCTAAATAGTATTTGTTTTTATTTTTGTTTTTAATAGAATTGAATGTCAGGGAGTGTACAGAGTATCGCCTTGTCTGTAAAACTTATCTAGGGCACCTACTTACGAGATCGATTATCACCGTTTAACACAACTTTTTACTTTAAAAATCTCAATCACTTTGCAGACTTTCTTTTTTCTTCAATCTTTTGATGTAACTCCAAGTTATGTAGCAAGTGGTCGCCGAAGAAATTCCTTTTTGTTTTTCGTGAAAATCAGGCGCAAAACTATTAGAACCTGTTTGTTTAGCCGCATTCAGGTTGGCAACGCAACAGGTTGTTGTACAAGTGCTGCGAAGAGCAGAGAGTTTCAACCAGACACCTAGGCTAATCGCCAGTGAAATAATAATAATAAAAAGAGTATACTTATGCTTATACTTATAAATAAGACTCAGCGAACTCAGGCGCTGTCGTAAACTGAATTTATCTTTATATCGCGGCAAGAACAAATTTCGTTAGCAATTGAAGCAAAAAGTTTGCAACAGTTGTTGTCGGGATTGTTGTTCGAGTCATTGTCGCTGTCACTCGCGCGCCGTCTGTCGAACAGATCGCACTTGAATTTGATCGCGTGCCGCAAAATAGGTTGAAGACAATTATTTTGAATATCCTCCAAATTTGAGAACAATGCCCATCGATTGTCAATTTAATTTGTCGCGTGCTTCAGCGGTTTATTACACTGGCGAACAAGTTTCTGGCTCGGTTGCGTTGAGCGCCAGCAAGAAATCGCTGCAGCTGGAGGGTAAGTTGACTTCTGTCAATTGTCAAATGGCATTTTTGTGTTTTTCGGCATTTGGTACAGGCAACTGATTAGATTTGATAACTTTTGCCCCAACCCACATCCAGCTGTCAGCATCAGTTTGATTTGCCGCAGCGAAATCAGCTGGCGTGAGGCAGACTCCAGCTTGCCACTCATCGAACACAATGATAGCACAGCGACCACTGAGTCCGGCTACATCAGCTATGCTGCCAACAAGACGCACTTGCAGCAGACGCAACAACTGTTGCAGAAACTGAACCTGCCACCAGGCGGCACACAGCGCTGTAGCTTTCAATTCGAGCTGCCACACGACTTGCCGGGCAGCTGCCGTCTGCCACAGGGCGCGACTGACTACACGCTGTTCGTGACGCTGCAACGCCGTGGCAAGCATGACAAGCATTTTCAGCAGCGATTGTGCATTAGAAAGCGCATTGAACTAGTCGACTTGCAGCCTGCGTGCAACGCAAGTGCCACACTGAGGCTCAGCTTGTTGCGCAGCATTTTTGCGCCCGGTCAACGTGTTGCCTATCAGCTGCATGCCACTGTGCCTGCCACATGCCAAACCCGTCTCTTGCAATCGATTACCTATCAAAGCCAACAACCCGTGGCCAAGTCAAAGCGTGTGCAGAACGTGCTGGACGAGAGCTGTGCCCTGGCCGCTGCACTGCATCTGCCGCTGACGGCGCCCATTATGACTCAGCTCCCTGGCGAGCCCATTGAGATCGCCTACTATTTGGAGACATGGAGCAGCTGTAGCGAGCCTCTCAGATTGCCCTTGCTGGTGGGCACAGTGGCGCCACCTGTTGACGTCATAGATAGCCCCACGGTCGGGCCTTCGCTTGGTTTTGTTAACTTGGGTAAGTGGCAGAGTGCCTGACGCATGGTTAAACAATCGTGCACACACACTTAATGCTCTTACAAAGGTACATACAATTTAGTTACTCACTTTGGTGCAGTTATCTATAATTGTAACACTTATTGCCAATAAATTGTAAGGATCGGACTATGTGAGATAATCTTAACGTGTCGTATATTTTCCATTATTAAACGTTTATTTGTAAAAGCATTTGCTATTCGGTTTTAGAAACCATTTAATTACCTATTCCTTACTTAATATTCTTATAATTGAATCACAAAGCTTACCCTAGAAATGTGTATTGGTAAGGGTATTAAATCTTCGCAAGCCACATTGTAATTTCTTATTATTGTTTATATTTTCTAGCTTTGTGTGAAAATGATTTACTGTTTTCATCCATCAATCAGTTGCTGCCCCACAGCTGTTCCAGGGAATCGAACACCCCGAGTATTACCTGGCACGGGGAACACCTGAAATTGCTGCGGCGCCAAAAGAAACAGTCGTACGTGCGATTAGCTTTGCGGTTTTTCTATAAAAACATGTTGCCCACAAATAAGCGTCATTGTTGGGAGCTCGAAGTATCCAATTAACATAAATAAGTACGTGCAGGTCTTTATATATCTTCGAATGTTTTTCCAGTTTTGATTAGAGTTATGCTTCTTTTTTATTTAATCTGATATGTTATAGCCGATTGAGATTGATTTAGTTTGATATAATACTATCTAGCCTAAAGTAAAATTTAATTATAACCATCGTATATTAAGTCTTAGAAGCCAATCGAGTTAATATCTGAACAATATTTTAATCTACTATCAAATCTTGATAATTATATTACGAAAGAAAAGCACAGAATTTAATGAAAGCAACTTAATAATTATTTCATTTAATTGCAATATTAGAAGAACTCTCAAAATAACTAGACTTAATAATAGAAAAATTTTGATCTGAATGCAAATAGGAGAAATTTTGTAAAAAACGTTGTACATTTTTTAATATTACCTTTTAGAGACAAGTTAAATTTGTTTTTCTTGTTAAATCATGTGTCATTAAATTGTATTTTATTCCAATAAAATAATGCATTTGCGAATTTTCAAAAATTAATTGTTCGTGTGTTCGCGGAAAGACCCTAATAAACTTAAAGATGCGCTTAATAGCAATATTGTAATAAGGTTTATTGTTAATTCCTTTTTTATTATTTATACTACTTAGTATCAATTAATTATTATTCTTTTGCTTTTGGAGCTTTATATATTAGTATGAATAATGTAATGTGTATTAATAATAATAAAAAAGAATTATAATATTATAATAATAATAGTTATAATAATCATGATAATAATGAGAATAATAATCAGGAATATAATAATAATAATTATAATAATAATAATAATAATAATAATAATAATAATAATAATAATAATAATAATAATTATAATACTAATAATAATACCAAAAATAATAATAAAAGCCAATAAAAAAATTGTATGTCTTTTAATAATCAAAACAATAACATTAAGCAGCAATTTCTCCTGCTGTTTTTTTTTAAAGAGAACCAGTTGAGTTCTCATTGAATTTAATGCTTCCATAAACCCACTTACGCCCAAATCTATTTATGGTCCTTGTTGTTGTGCCCTAATCAAATAGGCGAAGCCATATTGTGGGAACGGGTCAAGGCGAGCTTGTTGCCGCAATTATCTACAGTAAATTGAGTCAATCGAGTGCGTGGGCTATCTGAGGAGCTCCGCAAGTGCTCAGTAATGCTGTAAATTGTTGTTGCCACATTTTGTGGCACCAATGGTGTGCAGCTCATTTAAATCGAATGCGTGCAGGCTTTAGGCTGCGCTTATTGCCGCCAAAAATATACAAATTTACAGATTTGGCCACGATATATGAAAAACATGCGCCAAAATCGAAGAAAACAAAATAAAACAGACCGCCGCTGACCTCGCCATTGAGGACATGGCGGCGCAGTTATTGTTGTTTGGGCCTCAGCCTTTAAGGGTGGCAGTCGAACAAAGAAACTGAAAGGCCCCAAGCCACAAAGCATTGCTCCATTTGGTAACGTTTTAGCTTTGAAATATTTGACCAGAAGCAGACAGTAGACGGTTACACAGACGCATGGCGCCAACTTATTGATTCGCGCCCCTCTCCCTGTACCCCCGCAGGCGCCCTCTCTTGGCAAAAGCGAAAGCACGGCCGGATGCTGCGAGCAAGCGAGAGAACAAGAGGCCCGAGACCCGACGCACCACACAAAGGCGGAGCTCAGTGCGCGTCTGGCTGTGCCAAAGTTCAGTTGAGTTTTAATATCCTGTTCCTTGTTGTCTGTTGTCTGTTGGCTGTGATGTGAAGTGCATCCTCGCATTAGCAATGCCCACCACCTGTGTTTTTCAGCTGGATCGCCTGAATCCCGTCTACAACAGCGGCGAATACATCAGCGGACGCATTCTGCTGCGCACGGACAAGGTGAAGCGCGTGAATGGTTGGTGTTGCCCCATTTGGAGACCCATTCGAGACCAGCTCAATATGATGCCTGTTGTTATTCCCTGTAGCTGTCTATGTAACCCTGGAGGGTGAGGCCAAGGTGCAGTGGTCCATGAGCGGCAAAACTGAGACATCCAACTATTCGGGCCATCAGCAGTATCTGCACACACGGACCAATGTTTTCGATAACTCTCTGTTCCGTGCCGGAGTACATGTTTATGTGTTGACACTGCGCATACCCCCAGACTGCCCCAGCACCTGTAAGGGTCCGTATGGTTATATTGCGTACAATATCTCACTGACCATTGACAAGCCCTGGGGCTTCGATGAGATCTTTCGCAAACCCATTATGGTCGTTCAGACATTGGATCTTAACTATAACTCGGAGTTCGCGGTAGGTTTTTCGAATGTGGCAGTTATGTGCAAAGGGACGTGGCAAGAAAAAATAATTTATAATTAAAGCTCAATATGTGTGTGTGTGTGTGGTGTGTAAAAATATCGAAGTCAAGTGTAGAACAAGAAACAGCATATATGAAATAGTATTCGTAAGAAAACAGGAATAGTTATTTTATGCCGAAGTTTACATACTATTATAGACATGACATGCAGCACGATTATCGATGAATCATTGGAACAATGGAGGATATATGGTCCGATTTTGATAAGATTTTGCTTATGTCAGATGCATACTTAGGGAAATAATGGTTATTATTAAGATTTGGTAACATATTAAGAAGATAAAGTGAAATTCAAAAGAGTATCTTTAAACGATATTTTTTCCATAAAATGTTTGAAATTGTTAATTGATAAAATTGATAAGATATCTACCAGCTTTATGGCATAGTCGTCAAAGTTAGCCCTTTTCCACTTTTGAACTACCTGCAATTAAAAGAAAGATCTTCTTGAAATCGAGAAAGTGATGTGAGATCCTGACAAACAAAATATTTGTAATATGGATTTGTACTTGTCTTAAGGCTCACGAACTGCTCATAACATGTTATAAGTATATAATATTCGATGATTTTAAAGCTTGCGCATTAAGCCCTGTAAAATATCCAAAATTTTTCGATTCTTTGCCATAGCTGCCCGTCAAGGATGAGAACATTAAATACCTCTGCCACTGGCCCTGCATCTCCGGACCAATCAGCTCCAGCTTGGCACTGCCCGCATCTGGATTCACGCCACTGCAGGAGGTGCCATTCAGCGTGGAGGTGGACAACCAATCGCCGCACTATGATATTATTGGCCTTGAGGTGTCCATAAAGCAACATTTTGTGTTTCTCTCGCGCAAGCCGGTCAAACGGAACTTCTATACGAAAACGCTCTGCAAGGATATCATCACGGATCGCACCTTGAGGCTTTCCAAGAGGGTGTATGAGTCGAGCATTTGTGTGCCCATGGATACGGCCCGTTCCACACTAAATCCCAACTACATAGTATTCCTGCACTATACGCTGCAGGTCAAGCTGAAGACTGGCTACTTTCACTACGATACGGATTTGTCTGTTCCCATTGTGGTGGGCACCACGCCATTGCAGCATTTGCGTGCCACCGTGCGCACCCAGCAGCCGGCGCGACGCACGACGACGCCGGAGCGACAGCGCCTGATTGAGCGGGTGCAGCCGCGACCCGCAACGGTGGAGGAGGAGACGCCACAAGAAACTGAGGCGGCAGCCGATGAGACGCATCAGGTGGTGGAGGATGATGAGCCACCTTCGTATGACAGTTGCCGTGAGTGTATAGTTGAAGAATATGCTGCATAACACTGTACATTTATTTTCTCTTGCCGCAGTGCCGCCTTCCTTTAGCTTTGCCACCTTGGGTGGCAGCCAGCCAACGCTGGAGAGTCAGCCGCGAATACACCTGCCCAAATTTCCGGGCTTTAGCACATTTATAGGCGCGGCGCCCGCGCATGACTTGAACTTGGAGGACTCCGGACTGGATATGCATTATTATCGTTCCTATGGCTCACTTGATACGGATCAGACGGGTCGCAGCCTGGATACCTTTGGTTCGCTATGTGGCCCCATTTTCGACCCGAGCGAGACGGAGCAGCAGGAGCAACTGGCCGTGCTCGATGTCACGGCCCAGGTGCATCAGCCGGTGCCGCTGCAAACACAGGCGGAGCATCAATTTTAAATGCAAGTGTCTTAAGCCGAAACCATGGTGGTATACTACGTAAGATTGTACTAGACTTAAGTGTTCAGAGCTAGGTAAATGAAATATTTTTTCGAGTGTATCATTATCCGTCTTATTGGAAGCGCTCATAGCTCATATAACTATACTTTACTGCCATCCAAAATTCAAATTTATTCCAAGCGAACTTATTATGTGCCAACAAAGTTTTCTAGCATATTATTCCATGGCTTTTTACATGCATATTTACGATTATACGATAATATTATAAAATGACTTGGCTATATAGTTTTACATAATGTATTTAAGCTAAGACTAACGTGTTCATAATTGGAAAATAAATTCGTATACAAACACAAGTGCCAAGATCTTACACTAGCTAATTATTATGTGCTTTATTTGGAAAACAAAGGAAATTTATTTACGAATTTGCAACTTTCGACGACCAATATCTTTGATATTTATTTATAAGTATTTTACTATTCATTTAATCTTAACGTAAATATAGTTTAAAAATTTCTACCATTTTGATTCGAAAAAAATGAAGTTTTTTTAAATATATCTCTAATCGAAATATTTTATTGCTGGTCAATATAGGAGTTAGCATAAAACACAATTTTAGAAATGATCCCAATCGCTCTTCATTTTCTGCCAAAACTTATTATGTCAAAATAATAAAATTTAGATTGCCCTACTTAGAATTCCAGCAATCATGATTCACGCTATATATTACATTCTCAATATAATTTTTGTTCCCTAGGTTGATACTAGATCTAGGTCTGATATGTGTTTTTTTTTCAAATTTTTTGTCATGTTATAATATATATATTATTTATTAAATATAAGTGTCAAAAAAGTAGAAATTCTACTTTTATATACATTTGGAGGATTTTTAAATTTCTTTCAAGCAGTGAGTCTCAAAAAGTAGAAAATAAACTAGTTCCTTCGTAACTTCCACTCGTCAACCTTCAGTTACAAGAACTATTTTCCATATTTCCTATAAGAGTTTAATTTACCATAAATATGTAATATTAAAAACGAGTTTTCGCATGGAATCACATTTGAGTTAGGGTTTGCACTCTACGAGATAAGCACTTGGGAAAATAACAAGTTTTTCAGATGTTTCTAGGAATATTTTTTCAAAAATGTTAGACATCCTTTTATGGATATATATTTGTTTCATCCGTAGCTACAAATTTAACCGAAAGTTTGGGCTAAGCACATATATTCACATATATACCTACATATAGTGTGTACAGTGTGTTTGAATATGTATTTCTATTTATTAGTCTGTTTAGCTTCGCCTGAATGTATGCAACGCTTGGCAACTGTCGCGCGTCAGGCGGGTCGCGTATTTAATTAAATTTGCTAATTGTTTATGACAAGTAAGTGCTCTGCGTTTGCCACCGCAGCAGGGCCACAGACCCCGTATGGGCGATTAGATAAACATACAAATAACACTTGGCCAACATGTTAAATGCCGATAAGATCCGCAACGCTGGCCCGCTTAATAGGCCAAACATTTGTCCAGAGTTTGGCAGACAGCGCGCGCCAGTCGACCGGTAAAGAATTGTTTCACAATGAACCAAATCTGTGACCTGCATTTGGAGCGGCCCAGTGGGGTCTATTATGCCGGCGAGACGGTCAACGGTCAAATCTATCTAACCCTGCCGGAGCGGGCACTAATCAAAGGTGAGTCATGCCGTGCGCCCAGGCGATAAGGCATGAATCATGCGTTGATCAAACCAATTTGAACGAAAGCCATCTGAAAGATAAGCAAATGCATTTGTTATGTGTATATATTATTTACAGCCATCGCCCTGGAATCGAATGGCTATGCGTGCAGCTCCTGGCTGAAGCCGCAAAAGCAAAAAAAACAAAAGTCTAGGGGCAAGCCACAGGTGCTCAAGCCGCCCATTGCTTTTGGCCAGCGCGTGGATTACTTTGCCAAGGTGGATTACTTTGTTGGCTCGGAGGCAGCGCTGCCGCAGCTGATGGCAGCGGGCGCCTATAGATACGATTTCAGTGTGCAGCTGCCACAGAGCTGCCCCAGCAGCTATGAAGGCGCACATGGACACATACGCTACACGCTCCAGCTAAGCTTGCAACGCAGTGCGGAGCTGCCACCGGAGCCGGCTTTGACACGCCAATTGCAGGTGCTGCAGCGCAGTGAGTTGAATCAGCAGCCAGGCCAGATGCTGACACCCTGCGAGGTTACCGCCTTGGAGCAAACGCCCTCGCTCAAGTTCTGGCAGCGACCGCTGCAACTGCAGCTGGACATTCCCCGTACTGGCTACGAGCCGGGCATGGGTATCTCGGTGCACGTGCGACTGCACAATGCGCAGCAGCTGCCCCTAAAAGCCATCATCTACAAGCTGAATCTGGTCAGTACGCATGTCGGCCGGCAGCAGGACAAGCCGAAGCATGTGGCCAGCCAGGTGGAGCGTCGCTATCTAGTCAGCAGCAGCCATCAGCTGAACACTTGTCCACGCAACGAGCTGCTCAATTTTCAGCATTTGCACACGCTGCAAGTGCCACAGACCCCGCCCTCACTGAGCGCCGCCGCCTGCGCCTGCCTGCAGCTCAGCTACGAGGTGGAAGTCCTGGTGCAGACCAATCTTCCAGATCGTTTTATTGCGGCCCAACTGCCGATTATTATTTACCAGACGCCGACCATGCAGGCGGGCCTTAAACCGGATTCGGGCATGTCTCGTTCTCTGGGCGAGCTACAGGCAGTGGGCGTAGCCGGCGCACCCAATCCAACGCCTGAAGCTGGCAACTTTGCCACAGCTGCGCCCAATTTAAGCGCCTCTATGAACTCTCTAGGTGAGCTGAGCAGCATTTTATACTTAAATAAAATGTATTAATTTGTATTTTTTTTTTAGCTTCCAACTTTCGTGAAGCCGAATTCATGGTGGCCACCAATCTGAACAGGGATAAGCACGCCATGTCCGGGGAACAGATTGATTTCAGACCACGGTATCTGTACTACGAAATGGAGCATGCTGAAACCGAAAAAGTCCTCTAAAGAGCATGCAAATATATTTATGTAATATTATTCTAAAACGTACCTGTATTTTTTTCAATACATTTTATTTTACTTTATTCAATTTAATAGAAATCTTGCCTTTTGGAGGGTAGCTTGGCGCCGTGCGTCTGATTTGATTCCCGAAATGTTTCTTAATATAAGAAAATTATAAAAATTAAAAGAACACAATAAAATTATATATTATATGTCGTAGAGAAATAATATAAAAACGCACCTCGAGTCAGCAAATTAATATTTTATGTATAAGCTATTTATATTTAAATAATAACTTATTCTCTTGCTTTCTTCTAAGTAGAGCTCGAGATATATTTGGGAAAAGAGTTCGATAGTTCGTTAAATATATTAAAACAAGATTGCTTCATTTTAGATTTCAATAAAATAGATTTTTGATTTCGAATCAGAAAACTAAATATTTTAAATACGCAATAAATATTAAAATAATGTTATTTTCTTACTTTCTTTTAAGTAAAACCCGAGATTTACTTGTCAAAATCAAAATAGTTCGTTAGTTCGGTCCACCAGCTTTCAGTCCTTTGATTCAGTTAGAGAAATCTCCTTTGCAAATCCTTCACATCTTTGTTGTGTCACATAATTTCTACATTTAAAATGCTACAATTCTATTTAACAATTACAATCTTTCGTTCTACTAATAATATTGCAGCTTACCTATTTTAATTTATTGAAGAATATAAATAAATTAATATAAATACAAAAATATAAATTAATAAATTTGATTTGCGCCAAATCTTTTTATATTGTGGGGCTGTGTGAACCTCAAATCTCTTTGAACCAAAACATTTTGAAAAAAACTTTGTATATCACGGAACTATATATGTATGAAAACTATAGATATTCAAAGCCCATGCTAGGGTATATCATAATGTAGTATATGTTATGAAGACAGCTAAATTAGCTTTATTGTCTATTAGCCAAATGAATAGCTATATAGACAGTTGGTAGCTTTAATTATATTTATGTTAATAAATACAATATACGTATATATATTTGTATTCAATAGAATTTACAATAAGCATATGCATTTACTTTTAATTAAAGAACGTATAAAAAATGAGGTTCTTAAAAAAGTATAAACTTGATACAAGGCTTATAAGGTTTTTAAACTTAATATTATAACCCTTTGAGGATGTCTAATCTCGAGCTGGTGCACTGGGATCATGTGGCAGTGACAGCAGCGTCACATTTGCGGTTTCCTCAGGCGGCGCCGTGGGCGTGGCAAAGTTTGTGTACATGGGATAGCGTGGTACGAAATCGTCGGTGCGATTGTGCTCATTCACATCCGTATCTACGAATCTTTCACCAATATGGGTGGCTTCCTCGAACGAAGGCGGCTCTGCGAAAGAGATAAGAAACAGTTTTTGTGAGGTTCCAAGACTTTGAACAACTATAATCGAGGTACTCACTGCACGTGTCATAGCTCGGTGGCATGTCGGCTGCTGCACCCGCTGGCGTATCCGGCGTTTCGGGTATCCACTCGGCCACGTGGCTGGGATCCTGGGCACTTTGTGCCAGTGGTATGGTGCCAACTATGATGGGCGTATCAATTTCCGAGTTCGAATGGCAATCGCCAGTCCTGATGGCCATCTTGATCTGGTAGGATACGTTTATGATGCGATTGATCCGTGATGAGGGCGCCACGGGTGGTATAACCAGGCTGGCATTGATCAAGCGCTTGGATAAGCGCCGCACATGCTCCGGCTGGTACTCCTGGCAGAGAGTGTTCTTGTGTGTACGTGATTTATGCATGGGTACACTAGCCCGGAACTCGTATATCTGTATTAAGGAGATTTCAATGCCGTGCAGATCGTAGCCATGCGACTGGTTATCTATCTGCAGGGTATAGTTAATTCTCTGGCCCGGCGCATAGCCGCCAAAGGGTATTGTCAGAGTCGAGATGACCGGACCCGAGGAACAGGGCCAGCAGCAAAAGTACTTGATGTCCTCGCTCTTAATGGGGATCTGTGAATTATCGCACGGCCAGGTTAAAGGCATTCCATATGGATTAGCCAAGACACTCACCAGCATCTCCGGATACATGTTCAGATTGTAGGTCTGCAGCACGGTCAGCGGCTGTTTGAACTCGTTGTTGAAGCGCCAGGAACGATCCAACACGAGTGATACCTCATACGCGATCTTGCCGTACTTCTCCACACATGACGTCGGGCATTCCAGCGGCAGGGGTATGCAGAATGTGTAGGCGTGTGTGCCTGCCGGCAAATCGCCCTCCCCAAAGACATTTGTGCGTGTATTCAAATACTTTTCCGTGCCACGATAATATTCCGTATACGTTTCAGTTTTACCGTTAACGGTGCGCGTGCGCCGTTCCTCCCAACGCACCTTCGCCTCACCCGCGAACAAGATGAAGACGGCTGTTGGAGATAAGAAAACAAAACAAATGCCAAACGTAAAACATGGGAGAGCTTTCCGTGTAAAACTGTTGAGCTTTGCCTTTTTGCCAGTTGCGCTTTGTGTCGCCGTTCTGCCGACTGCACTTTTTTTTTTTTTTTATTAAATACGTGACGCACAGTGGTGACGAGCTGTTTAAAACTTTGATAACGTTGCAGCTAATGAGAAAAAAATTGCTTTTATTAATTACTTTTTTTTAATTATATTAATTTATCAAACAGCTTGCAAAGGCTTTTTAGAGCTAGGTTTCGAAGAATATGTGTAAATTAGTATTGTACGTTTAAGTTTTCTTTTTGTTGTGTATATTATTAACACGTGTAATTCTGTCAGGTGGTGAGCCTGGGAGGGGATGGGACTTGGTTGGTTTTTGCCTTTTTAGAGCATTCGCACAAATGTTCTTCTTGATAGGACAGCGCCTTTGTGGATTAGTGTCCAGGCTAGTGGCAAATGGTTCCTTACGTGGTGCTCTACCCAGGAGATCTTGAAATCCCCATAGAAGCTGCACTTCCCCTAAACTAACAGTTACTTTGGTCAGTCTCTGTAAATGTGGCTGGCAGAGGTTGGGCACTTGGTATTATAGCCGGGCAGAGCCTTTTATTCCAGCTATTAGAACTCATTTTGTTGCCTATTTAAAAAGAGCACACTGTACTTGGAAACGGGTTTAGAATATCACAATTTGAAATTCGATTATTAAATAACCTTTTTAATTGCTCCCTTATTTATTTATTTGGGATTGTGCGTTTTTATCAACAATTTAAATGGGTGTTTATACAAATTACCTTCTTATAATAATAACAGAAATGTATGGCAGATAAAAAGCTAGTGTTGAAAAATATTACATTTAGATTGTTGATTAACATTAGTTATATTCACGTTACTGTTTTTGTTCAAATTAATATTATATTTAATGCATATTTAATTGTTCGAATGCCTGGATCGCGTGATAAGGTGAAAGAACAGTGATTTACCATTGACGGACTTGTTGCTTGTTGTTTTCAAAACAATGCGTCCATTAATTGTTTCGCCGCTGTAGTAAACCGGACAGGGCCGATCGAATTCGAAAACACAACTCGATGGCATGGTAAAGATACGAATATTAATTTTATGGCACAGTACAAACACACCCTAACGCAAAAATACCACTAATCTTAAAGCTAATTATATATTATATTAAACATATTTCACTGAAATTTCAACTACTAATCGAACAAAGCACGCGAGTTTAGCCCGCGTTAAACCCGCAACGCCGAACAATCCAAACACAAATGAAAAGGCGAAGATTTCTATTGCGCTGAAAATAAAATGTTTGAGAGCGCGAGAGAGACCAAATGTGACATCATCAGTTGAGAGAGCCAAAACAAAAACGAAATCGAAAGCTTATTAATATACACTCGAAAGAGTATACAAGCATGAGAGTAACAGAGAGAGCACGAGAGCTGTTGAGTAAGCACTTTAAAGCTTTGGCGCTGCTCGCGTTATTAGAAGAACTTTTTATACATTTTGTTGTTATATGCGTAGCTTTCAAGAACACTCTGATGTAAACAAAAACAGATGATGTAATATTTGGGAAACAGCTGTTTGGCTAACTAAAAGATTCTTATATATTAATATTGTGCTACAAAAGTCCAAATACCAATTTTATACTGGGTATAATTTGCTGGGTATAAGAAAATCAAACAATGTTCATATATACATACATATTTTTAGGCTCACAGCTGTTGTATATTATAACAAATAAATATTAACAATAGAATATTTAAAAACATATTTAATGCGGAGTTAACCTTATGAACTCTATGTATATAGTTAAGAGCTCTTGTGATCTGTATTTTTTTATTAAAGTAAACAGGTATTTTTTGCATGACTTGAACTTTTGCCGGAAGACGGTTTTATATTGTTTGTTTATCTACGAAATATCTTGCCTAAGACACTTTGCAAACAATCTCGCTTGGGTATAACACAATTTTGCGTTGATTAATATAAATACTGTTAAGATAAGATATTGCATTTGATAAGCAATCAAATCTGGATGGGCGACTCTACGGGTTCTCGTTCCATTTCTGTGTTCCGCGCCTCCGCCGGCTGCTTCTTCTCTGGACGTTGTTCGTCACGGCGACGGCGACGACGACGCTTCTTCTGTGGCGGATTAGGCGGTGGACTCTGGAATGTGTCCACATCGAAGACGGGATAGCGTGGCGTAAAGCGAGACGCCTCACTGACCGTGTTGGCATCCGTATCCGCAATGTCGGCCGTCATAAACATCGCCTGCTCATAGGTGGGCGGAGCTGAAAAAAGTTCGGAGGAAGGATGGCGATTAAAAAAAGTGTGGTTAGGCACGCTTTTGGGTGACTTACGCAGTTCAGGGACCAGGTCCTCCTCGACCTCGAACTCGTCGTCCCCATCCTCGGGAAGCTCGTAATCCTCCAGCTCTTCGGTTAGCTCGTAACTGGGATTGTTTATGCCCGAGGCCAATTCCATGGCCCTTGCCGAGGTACACGGCAAGTCGCGGGGCACGGCCGCGATACCAAACGGTGCGGCTGGCCCAACGGTAGCCAGGGGCACATTGCCAATGGTAATGGGTATGACGACCTTGGGATTGGCCATCAGCCAGTTCATCACAGCCACAATGCGCACCTCGTACGACACACGCACTACCTTGCTTAGGTGCTCGCATGTCGGCGCCGTGGCCGGTATGCGCAGCGATTCCGTGTAGGATTTCTGGCAATTGTGGAGCACTGGTCCACCCTCGCGCTTGGCCAGCAGGATCTTCTCGGAGACGGTGCGCAGGGCGGGCGTGTCGGCTGTGTAGGTGGCGCGCAGATATATCATAATCATCAGCTTCTTGCAATCGCTGCTGGAATTGTTACGCACATCGGCATGGATCAGCATAAACTGGCCGGGCACATAGCCCTGCTGCTGCAGCGTCACCTTCATATGGACCGGTTTGGTGTGCATGAAGCAAAAGTATTCCATGCCCTCGCTGCTGGCTGGTTCACGCAGCAATTTGTTCTCCTGATTCAGATCGAGCAGCTTGAGCACTGTGAAGCCCACATTGGTAGTGCGATTCGAGGCACCCGGTCGAATGAACGTCACCTTGGCCAGGTAGCGTATATGCCCATAGATGCCCTCAAAGGAGGATGGACAATGACTTGGTATGGGACAGGCGAAAGTGTATGTATAGCTGCCCGCATCAATATTGAACGTCTGACCCTGCTCCGAGCCCATCAGATATGTTGTCGAGGCTATGTAATCCTCCCGGCCCATAAAGAACCGTTTGCGGCCGGGACGAAATTGATTTGTGGGCTGAGCTCGGCCATGTTTTCGACGCCATTGAGCACAGGCATAGCCGCTGATTTGTAGTTTAATACCTGACAGGAGTTAAGAATATAGGAGGAGTTAAAAATATATAACTACTTCTCAATGTAGCTAAATAATAATTTTACACAATTTTTAAAAATGTATTATTTTTAATAATTATTAATCGATGAAAAAAGACAAATTTCTATCACATTACCAGCTGATATAAAACAAAACTATTTATTTTAATCTACAAATTAATGCATTTAAAAAAAAACCACATTTTATTATATTATTTTTATTTATATTCTATATGAGTTGTTATATTTCTCAAAAGAATCGTAAGAATGACTAATAAATGTTGGCATTTCCTCAGCTATTGACTACTTATCACCAGGTAGATCCCCCCCGAGTCTGTTGTCTAATAATACAACAATTTTTGTGCGTTTTGTTGTGCATCAATTATCGTGCATTTTGCGTGTGTCTCTGGCAATTTCGAATAAATAACGAATATAATGGGCTTGACAAAGGGAATAGCAGAGAACACAGCAAAGTGAAATAAATACAAAACACAGATAAGATAATAGCCAGATAAGAGGACACCGCACACTAACAATAACTAGCATAAAATAGTTAGTATATCAGGAATCTAAAAAAATCTAAATAAATGTAAAGCCAGCTACTAATTGGCGAGCCCAACATAGTTGACATACCTCGCAGTTTTTTGGTCTTATTGAAATTAACTATCACCTTGCCGGTCACGACCTGGCCCGTAAAATATGTGCCATGCTCGTTTTGATCGAATGTTATGAGGCAGTTATTAGACATTCTTGTGGCGTCCACCCGGGGCCAAAATTTCCGATTTGTGCTTTTCTATCGCGACCAACGACTGAAGCTCTCCGAACCCGCTCGCTGCTAAACGGTAACTGATCTAGTTTTTGGCTACTAACATGATATTTGGAGCACGTAACAAGTGCCCTGCGCTATCTTATCTGGAGTATATAACAAACTCTCTGTAATCCCAGACGTGGGTGCGTTAAAGACTCAGCCGGGCGTATGTCAGCGAGAGTTTATGCATGACTCAAAATGCTGAAGCTTTTTACAGATTTGTGTAAAACAGAAAATCTATATATTATTGAAGATAATGTGTAAAGTGATGTGCTGCTTTTATACCACAGATTTCTCAACTAAAATAATCTTACATATTAATATTTATTTATCATTACGTATGATGACTACATTTATTCTTGAACTTCGTTTACAGTTGTCACATGTAACATAAAATGTATGTTTTTAAAAATAAATAGATAATTCGAATATTTTTGTATTGATAAGATAAAACTTGTCAATTCCGGTTGGGCGATAGAAAAAAAAAAATATTTTCTTTTAAATTCAGTTTGATTTTTGCCAGCTAAGCGAAACGCGGCCAATCTACGAAACACGTATAATATTGTTTATTTAAATATTAAAACAAAAATGGTTGTAAGTTGCGAAATTGACTTTAAGGATAATCCATTTGGCGTTTATTATGCGGGTCAAGTCATTTCTGGAAGTGTAGTCCTAAATGCGGACAAAGAAAAGCTAGTTAAAGGTATGGCATAATATGTTAATAGGTAATTGCATGAGCTGATGTTGTTGTAAATTTTAAATATACATTTTTAAATATATTTTAAGCAGATTTTAGTGGACTTGTAAGCTAACAAATGATTCATATTTATTTTTGCTTATCTATTAATAGTTTTCCTTTCTATTTTAATACTCAAATTTCAGATAACATAGGCTTTTTGTTACATCAAGAATGATAGACAAAAAACTGCCAGAGAATATTTCTTAAAGATAATGAATAATATATTATTTTAAGTCTATTCTTATTATTTCTGGAAAATAACGATAATAGCTTAAGAGCAAGTTTAAGTCCTTATGAGGGCCAGCAATATATATTCTTCGATCATAATCATATGTCTATGTATGTTCTTTAATATTTCAGCAAATATATAGTATATAATAAAAATAATCTATACAAAATAATTACTCTTCATGCCAGCTATAATATTAAAGATAAGAGGCTTTGCTTGCACATGTTGGTCAGAAGATGAAACCGATTTGGATAACAAGACCACAGAAGAGACTTACAGTGGACACGAAGACTATATTCGATCCAAGGTGGAGCTACTAGCTGCTGAAGGAAAGAGTAAGAGCTCAAATATCTATAACTCTACTATTTCCTCTTCACTTTCTATATTTCGTAGACGTCGCTCTTGAGCCTGGCAGCCATGTTTATAATTTTGCCTGTCAAATACCCGCTGTGTGCCCCTCTTCCTTTGAAGGCACCCATGGACGTGTGCGCTATATGGTAAATGTCAAACTGATCAGACCCTGGAAATTTGATCAGACCTTCTCACGACCCTTTACCGTGCTCAAAGTAATGGATCTCAACAGAGAAGGACTTTTCCTAAGCGTGAGTTAAAAAGTGTCTATTTCATCCACAATTTATTAAAATGTATTTTTAATTAGACGCCCGCTCATTCGGAGGATCAGAAGACCTATAACTGTTGGCCCTGCCGCTCCGAGCCGATTCGGCTGCAATTGTCGCTGCCCCAGCGAGGCTTCGTGCCCGGCCAGAAGATACCGGTGGGCGTGCTGGTTACCAATGACAGTCACATACGCGTGGAGGAGATCGAGGCCAGCCTGGTGATGATGGTGCTCTACTACAGTCAGCACAGTGTGAAGACGATCAGCGAGAGATTTGTGGTCAGCAAGCAGCAGGGCGAGGGCGTTACCAGAAATTGCAAGAAGCAGTTCACCTTTGACCTGCTCGTACCGGCAACGCCGCCCACCTGCTTTGATTTATGCCGCATCATACAGATCGCTTACCAGGTGGCGGTGGAGACCAAGGTCAAGGGCTGGCACATCAACGAGCGTGTCCACATGCCCGTCACGATAGGCAATGTGCCCTTGACCAGACAGCTGACACAACAGCCACGCCCCATTCCCGTTGAAGTCGAGGTTGTGGCACAACAATTGGACGAGAAGGCCTTGGTGCTGGTGGATGATGTATCAGCTGCGGCGCCTGCAGCTACCGTCAATCCTTGGGCTGCAGACGCCACGATAGGTGAATCTGGCATATCGTGGATATACTTACAAGTTTTCTGAATCCCTTGTCTTTGAACAGCTCCACCCAGCTATGCAGAGGCCCTGCACATACGCGAGGGTCCAATAAAACCCTCCAAGTCAGCCACACCTCGAAAGTCCAAGCACACAGAGTTTAGCCCGTCCACCACGCAGACCAAGGAAAATTGCGCCTTTACCCCGCTCTATGCTGTGTTTCACATAAACAACCTGGCGGAGACTACGCAGGGCGATAGAGCCGAAGATATTGATCGTAGCACTTGGTTCTGAGAATGCGAAAGAATTGTTTAAGAAATCTTACTGAATTGTAAATAAAAACTGTTTAAGCGAAATGTTTGACAAAAATGTGAGCTTGGTTTTAGATTTAAGTTTTAAGAAAATGCCACTTTTATAAATGTATTTTGTTTTGTTTGGGCTTATTCTTTATGTTAGTTTTAAGTAAACGTCATTTATATTTATTTATTGTTTTGCTGGGGTTTCTTTCTTTCTAAAAGTTTGACCTCGAATAGTATTCAAGCCGAGTTCCAAGTTTCCAGTTACAATATTTATTGATATACATTTTCTGCATATTAACAGCAAATATAGGCTTAGAAAACAAGACAAATGTTTGATCAAATTATTTTTTTTATTAAGTTTATTTCGATAAAATAATGCAGAAATATCAAAACTCAAATCAATCAATCAGTCGATCAAAACAATCAAAAAGTCATGAGAGATACGTTTGGAACAATTGATAAAATGCATATAGAATCTGAAAATAAGGTTAAATTTCTTTATTTTTATAAATTTTTTTTTTTTTCATATTTCTAATTTGTTTTCATTTTTGCTCAGCTAAGCTCAAATAAATATATCGCAAATTTAACACTTCAGATAAATCTTAAACGTTAATATATAAAAATTAAAAAAAAAAAATGTGGCTCTAATTTTAAAATAAAAAATATAACTGAGATTATCCGGTATTCCCCTGTAGCGCAACTTACATATTTGCATTCCCAAACATAATGCCCAAGCATCTGCATAGACCCCTAATTTATTATGCCAAAAAAATGACACCCCTCCATTTAGTGATGTGTGCATTGCACTTGGACAAACTGTTTGGCTTATAATTGACACGGCGATAAGATAAAAATGGCCCATTGGCCCCGCTAAACAGTCAGAGCAAAAAAACAAAAAGGAATCAGAAAAGTTTGTTTCACTCTCAGTTCGTTTCAAACGCCCGAATGGGAATGTTTGGACTGTCGCGGAACTTGCCAAACTTGTTGCCGTTATGTGAGAAGTAAATAGCGAACCGCTTGGTTTTTAATTACAATCAAATCAGTCGTGTTTTGGATTCCGATAGCGACAAGTGCGAATCGCGGTGAATCGGCGGCGCGCAACAATAAATACTTACACCAATAATTATTGGCCAGATAAGTGCATATATACGCATATATATTGGCTTGTTGTAATAACACATAATGGGTGTTACCTGCATAATTGATTTCGATAACAATCCCCATGGCACCTTCTTTGCGGGTCAAGTGGTCACGGGAAAAGTGACTTTGAAATTGGATAAGCAAAAACTGGTCAAAGGTAAGAGCCCGGCGTTTAATATAATAAGTGTTTAGTGCAATATTTAAAAATTAAAAAAAAAACTCTTTAAACATCAAATGTTCTTCCCCATGACTCATTCTTATCTTATCGGCAGCCAGGTGAAGAGTTGTGCAAAGTTAATGTGCGAATTGTAAATTGTGTAGGATAGACCCGAGGCAGTAGAAAATGATTCATTCGCCTTTTTCAAGGCACGCGCTAAATTTGGTAGCTGATGATATTAAACAGTTTGTTGACAAGCTATTTATTATCATTTTCATTATAGGGAGCTTATAATCTATTATTCTTATCAGTATAATCATAAATCATAATCATAAGATTTTAAGCTTATTAAATAAGTGAATTCTGGAATCGGGGTTTTCGTTTTGTAAAGCACATTTTCAGCTCATTTAAATAATTTCAAAGTATATTTTTATTCCGCTTTGGATGCAGTACCTATATTATATTTTCTATAATTTAAATTTAATTTGAAGAACTATATTTATATACAAAATGTTATAGTTGCCGTTGCTGTTTGTATTATACATTTTTACAAGCTTGCAGTCCAAATATGAGATGATTTAATGAACGTTCCGTCTAAATTTTGCTGACAGCTCATCAAAATTTATTGAAAAACAGAAAAAAACTATCAAAGCTTTACAGCCGAGTAAAAGAAGAACTTTTGTAAACTGAATATTTTGCATGATTTGTTTACCTTTTAAAATTTATGTATATTGTTAATAAATGTACATATTATATTCAATATGTACATACGGAATTCATATACTAAACTTATTGTTCAGCGTGTTTATTTTCAACTAGGTAATGCCCACGATTTCATGTGTGTGGCGCTCTGACGTCACAACCAACAGATTGCAAGTAAAACATATAAGATTTTTCGAAAACACAAAGGAAGAACAAGATGGACAGCTTTTTTTGCTCAGAATTCGTTTGCTTCTGCATTTAAAGTATTTGCATGCATGTAGCGCAGGTGCAATTAACTGAACTGCACACAGGCAGGTGCCAGACGAATTTCGGCGTGCACAGATTCATCATGTTTGCCGGGCTTCTGCGGTGAAAAGGAGAGGGCGACGTTTTGTCTCATTTGCGCTTTGCAGCATTTACATTGAGCTAAAAAGCTTTGTTCATGCGATCAACAGGAAGTTTCTCGCTTATTTCTTCTTCAAATGCGCCTTCCTTTTCCCGCAGCTTTATTAGCTGTCGTGTTATGTATGTCTGCTTTATTTTTTTAATCTTTTTTATCGTGCAGATTCATATAAAATGCAAATCGTGCTATTTTATGTGTTCGAAAGGCGAAAGTTTGCATTAAGAACTACTTCCTCCTCACACATTCCTTTTGCACAGTGTGTTGCATAGTTTTGTGCATTTTATTAGAAACTGTATTGTAAAAGGAGGAAGTAAGTGTTGAAAAATTTAAAATGTCTAGAGTTTGATTCCTTAAACGTAAATTAAACAAGCATCTATCATGTTATTTTTATACATAGCGGGTATATTCATTTTATGTAAATCGACTTATTAATGTAGATTTTTTATTCATGCACTTAATTCTTTTTATACTGTTTCAATATAGCTGTAACATTTAACATAAGTGGATTTGCCGAAACCCATTGGACGGAATCGCGTGGCACTGGCAAGAATAAGTCCTCGGATACATATAGCGCCCGCGAAGACTATATAGCCTCCCAAACCTATTTGGCGGGCTCGAGCCAAAGCAGTATGTAATTCAGATTATGCCCAATATGATTCATTCCAACATTCAAATAACTCTTTGCAGCACAAGTTTCTCTTGAGCCTGGCGTACATACCTATAACTTTGCCTGTCAAATACCCGCTACCTGCCCCTCCTCCATCGAGGGCCACTACGGCAGAGTGCGTTATATGACGAAGGTGGCACTGGTCAGACCCTGGAAATTTGATAATTTCTACACGCGCTGCTTTACGGTGCTCAAAATCATGGACCTCAACTATGACAGTCCGCTCCTAAGGGTGAGTGTGCAGTTGCAGTTGCCGCAACAGGGTCTATATAAGATATTTTATGTTGTAGATGCCCGCACAAGTGGAAACCCAGAAGACCTATTGCTGCTGGCCGTGCAAATCGGCGCCCCTGCAGCTGCAATTGTCGCTGCTGCAAACGGGTTTCGTGTGCGGCCAGACCATACAGGTGGGCATGCTGGTCACCAACGACAGCCATATACTCGTGGAGCTGCTGCAGGTGAACCTGGCCATGATGGTCACCTACTACGCCCAGCATTTGGGCACCACGCATTCGCGAAACGAGCGTATACTCGTGACCAAGATGATGGGCGATCCCGTGCCGCATCACTGCAAGAAACAGTTCACCTATTGGCTGCGTGTGCCAGCCACGGCGCCCACCTGCTTCAATTTGTGCAAGATCATACAGATTGCTTACCAGGTGGAGGTGGAGGCCAGGGTCAAGGGCTGTCATCGCAACGAGGTAATCACCATTCCCATCACTCTAGGCAGTGTGCCCCTCTCGGAGCACGCCCACATGCAACCACGTGGCTTTGAGGGCCAACCACCACAAGCCCTGGATGCCAAGGCTTTGGCGCCAGCCAGTGCACCACCTGCTGATGCCATAGCGCCCTGGTCCATAGATGGCAGCATTCGTAAGTCTTTGATTGATTTGAACCATATTCTTTGATTTGATCATATGCCAATCTTTAGCTCCGCCCAATTACGAGGAGGCTCTTCATATGCGCGCAGAGGTCGACAAAGTAAATAATATGGAGCCCACTGCACCACCGAATACATTAAGTCTGGATGAGCATGGCTTCGCACCACTTTACCCCATATTTAATATACCAAGTCCCACAGCGCCTATGGCTAGTACGGATCAAAATGGATTTCCCAATGCTGATATGAACGCTAACAAGGGCGGTACTTGGCTGTGAATAGATACACTATGGATATATACCATATACAGGCTGTAATCTATAATCTAAGCACAATCTAGTCTTTAGTCAGGAAATAAAATTTGCCTGAAATAAAAAAAAAAAAAGATACAGAAATTGACATCTACAAGAAACATAATTTGTTTACATAAAGTTCAAGTAAATTGAAACAGGAAAATCTTGCAATTGGTTCGGAAGAGCCAAAAATGAACTTTAAAAGGAATGCACATATAATATTGTCTGAAATATAAACGTTAAGGATAGAGATTGATACTAGGTATGTAAAAGAGAAAGCATGGAGAAAAATATATTTGAAGTTTAAAAAAAATCCAAGGCGGATAAGTTATATTTAAAAGTTATTGTTGTATGGTACGGCACTGGATAATAGATGTATTTAAAATTTGAAATCTTTTAAAGGATGTAGGTAATATTTAGTATACAAACTGAATGATAAAAATCAAATTGAATGCTTACATAAATATAAAAAGTATTTTATTACAATTTTATATTTATAATTTATTCAGCCCATTATAATATGTCTCATCTAGTATGCAACAAGAGTTACTTGTTAGTTGAAAAAATAAAATATTTACAAAATTTTAAGATAAATATCAAATGCTCTTTAGATTAAAAAATTGTAAGATTAAAAACAGTTATGCTCTTTAGAATGTCTTTGACTTCCGCTAAAAATATAAATTGGAAAAGATAATTATGTTAGCTCGAAGCAAGTCTTGATTATTGTTTTAGCTTGTCTAGACACATTAGTTAGGATGCAGAAAGTGATTTATGAAATACCATTAACTATAGCATAAAGTGAAAAATTCCACTCCTCTACCCCCTATTTCCTAGGAGCATTCGGCCTTATCAGACTTCCAGCATAAACATGCGACCACTGTCAAGGTCTGTCCACTTGTGATAACTTGACTGAAACTTTGGGGCATTACTCGACTCTTATAAAGTATGTTTCCAATTCCATTTCGTTGCTCTCATACGATATACACTTGCTCGCAGTAACTAACGCTTTCCGGTCTTATCGCTTATCTAATTCAACTTGAACAACAAAAGAGTCCAGCAACAATCGCACCGACCCATTCGTACTCAGCATGGCACCTACTTTATTTAGTCGCCGTTCGTTGGCCAGCCCTAATGCGTTGCCCCCGGACTCTTAAGCATTGCGGTTCGGGAATTTTAGGATCTTTAATATAGTGCGGGGTTTACGGCCAGCGAAATGGTTGTTACGTGTGAGTTCAGCTTCGATAATAACAGACATGGCACCTTCTACGCCGGGCAGCTTGTGAGCGGCTGCGTAACCCTTAAATCGGATAAAATCAAGGAGGTTCAAGGTACTATATCCTATATATATAATTGATTTGACCAGAGTCGTGAGTGTCGCATTTTACGCATCGGGAATTTAAATGTCCGCAAATTTTTGGCATTATAAATAGTCCGGCGATAACGATAGCTGATAGACTAAATGAACATATATATATATAAATGTTACTGACGACATTGATTCCAATCATTTTCTTTTTTTTTTGTTTTTTTTTTTTTTTTTTTGTGGAATGCGAAAAGTCGAGCGATAAGAGTTGTATATAAATAAGCATGAGGTATTAAATTAAAATTGCCTTGGAGAAATATACGTTAAGTACAAATGCCGAGCGCTATTAAAAAGTTTTGCTAACCTTAATGTTAGATATCGCGTTGAAAGTCTTTTTCGATTAACTTTTAAGCCCAACTGAATAAAATGTGCGAAATGCTTATCAGAATTCATACTTAATTGGGGCTATTAACCAATTAGAGCGCCTTTAAATAAGTCGATTTATCACGGCCGATCGGGGAGAAGCCAAATTATCTTGCCCGTATTTGGCTTTACGGGCGGCTTATCACCTGCCTGTACGTAGGGTTTATATCATTGCATTATATATCATATATCATATTTATCTTTGCGACAGCTGCGCTCGTTAAAGTCGTGGGCTACTCTATAACCAAATGGAGCGAAAGACGTCTGGCAACAACAAAACTATTCGCCGGTCGAGAGGAATATCTAGCATCACAGACATATCTAGTAGGCTCGGAGCAATGTAAGTATTAGTTTTAAGTCGGTTCTATTATGAACTGATTTTGTAAGAATCCATCAAAAGTTGTTCTAAAATATTTCAAGAGGATTTCGTTTGTTCAACATACATGTTTATCAATTTTTAATGTAGAAATCAGTTTGCACACAATTAGATAAAACCGTAATTGTGTTTTTTTCCACTTGTTTCCACTAATTTTCTATCCTTGTGGCCGGAAATTTAACACATTTCAACAAAAGAAAAGAAATGCAGCATCACTTTTAACAGTGTTGATCATTAATCAATTAATCAGTCAATCAGTTAATCAGTCAGTCAGTCAATCAATCAGTCGGGTAGTCAATCAATCAGTGGTCAGTCAGTCAATCATTCAAAGCCTTATTAACATCTACCTCTTCACCCTTCTAGCCAATGACAGACACATTATACAAGCGGGTGTGCACAACTATAATTTTGCCTGTCAGCTGCCGTATCAGTGTCCCACATCGTTTGAGGGTCGCTATGGCTGCGTGCGCTATATAGTCAAGGTACTGCTGATCCGGCCCTGGAAATATAATCAGGCCTATACGCATGGCATAACTGTGCTGAAAATGATGGATTTGAATTGTGAAACGCCGCAGCTGAGGGTGAGTTTTCACTTTTAAAAAAGTGTGTAATAAAACTCTTTTATGTCGCTCTCTCACCGCTCAGTTGCCAGCGCACAGTGAAAACTACAGGACCTTCTGCTGCGGTCCTTGCAAAACGGCGCCGCTCAAAATGGAACTGCATCTGCCCCAGGCGGGCTATGTGCCCGGCCAGCGTATACCTGTCACCGTGCTGCTGATCAACAATAGCAATGTTGCCGTCTCTGAAGTGCGTCTCTCGCTGGTCATGCTGGTCCGTTACTTTAGTGTTACGCCGGAGCACTCGCGCGTGGATCGCATTCTGATTGGCAAGGCCAAGGGTGACTCCGTGCTGCGACGCAGCACGCGCTCCCTGACCCTGGACATGGTGGTGCCCAGCACGCCGCCAACCTGTCTCGATGTGTGTAAACTAATACAAATTGCCTATCAGCTGGAGGTGGAGGCGCTGATTAAGAGTCTGCGGGAACAGCAGATGATCACCATGCCCATAACGATAGGCACCTGGCCGTTGGGCAACAGCTCATCCGCCTCGGATGTGGTGCAGCACCAACCACCCAGACGCAGCGAACGCTACGAGTCGCCGGCGGATGAGCTGCCAGTTGTAACAGCGCTGGCAAACCAGCTCAACTCTCCCGATATAGGTAAGCACTTCCAGGACATACGCCAATCAGCATCTCTTCTGATAGCATTAATTCTTTTGAAAGCTCTGCCTACGTTTGAGGAGTCAAAGCACACGCTGCACGGCAACATTAACGAGGAGGAGCTTTATGCGTTCGGAGTCAACGAATTTGCGCCCTTATATCCGGTTTACAGCATTCCAAGTCCTGCACCCGTTCTTTCGGCCAACAGTCGGAATATTGGATTCATCAACCAAAGCTTTGAAAAGTAAGCTTTGTTGGCACTTGGGTGGGGGTTGTTAAATAAGCTCGAGAATTTTGATTTGCATATAAATATTTACTAAGAATTGTTGAAATATATTTGCGTTTGTAGTACAGATTGACGTTGGGGGTTGAAAATTTGCCAACTTGTATAGCACTCGTAAAGAAATGTTTCAGTAGAAGCTGATTTACTTTTTGGGTGGATATAAATTTTGACAGGTTGTGTAGAACAGTTTTTGTGGGAAAGTGCAAGTCAAACTGTAAATATACAATAGTTTGTATTAAGGGTAGTGTTCCCACTATTTGAATACCGGTTTTTATATAATAGCTGACAGTGTTGTAAAGGATAGCAACATATTATGATTTAACGAAGGGTTGTAAAAGTGCTGATCTATGTTTTCAACCCACTAATTTATTGTTATACACGTATAAAAGTAATTTTTATGTGACGCTTCAACTAAGGATTGTTATATGGTTGTAAAACTAGCTTTTGCAAGGATAATCAAAGTATACCAGTTTGATTTGAGCCATTGTAAGATTCAAATTTTGTGCGAATTATTTATAAATATAAAAGTATTATTTCTATCGTATAACAGTATGCTATATCAGTTGAAACTGTGCGAATTTAGATATTTTTCGCTGAGGGTAACCTGTATAACAGTTTATATAAAAGTATGCCAACTTGCGTATATTTTGATTATGGCAAGAAAATATGCAAGTTGCAAATTTGTTATACTGGAAGGGGCACTGCTTGCTCTTTAACGTCTTGTCCCAATACTCGCTTTAAGTGTGTTAAATGGATTCCACAGACTATATATAAACTGCTTGGTTAAACTGAGAAAAGTAAATGAATTAAAAAAATATTTTTTAGCGCTTTAAATATATTTTAGTTTTGGCTGTAACAGCAGCTAAATTGTAATATTTTTCGTTTGCTTTATATAAAGCGTTGCTCTTGTTTATTTCTATTAATTTCCTTGATGCTTGCCGCCCACTCCTAACTGTCTGTACAATCTACGAGTATTATCTATTGGCTTACATAGTTACGATAACGAGCACGTCGCTTGCGGCTTTGGTTTTAATCTGCCCAGACTACTTTGATATTATCAACATGGGTTAGCATAAAAGTCTCGACTAAGCCCCAGCCACGTACTAACTATTGTGTGCGGATGGAAACAGAACCACAAACCCAACCCCAGTCCCGACCAGACTCTACCCAGTTCCTGCATAAACTAAATGCCAACTCGCAACATGTTTAGTTTTTATTGTCACCTCAACTACGGGCTGGATTTATACTCAGTTGGGACGCGGATTAATTGTCTCTGCTCGCTCCTCAAATTTGATTGTTGAGAGGGAATTTGCTTTTTGTTTTTTGTTTTTTATTTTTGTTGTGTCGTTTTCTGTGTGTTGCGGTCAGTGGAGCCGCGATGCTGTAGCCTCAAATGCAACACGAAATCTGAAATGTACGAGTTGTGTCAATTTTGAAAAAGTTATAATCAGCTTGCTGGGATCAGAATTGCGAGCTTTTAATTGGCAGTTTGTTGTTTATGTTGATATCGGAATTAAGCCAAAGTCAAATGCTGCAGTTAACTAATGCAAATATACCTTGCGAGCATAAGATAACAACTGTAAGGGGTTGTGTAACTTAAAAGCTGGGCATGGCAAAATTGGTTACTTGAAAAAGATACAGTACTTCAGGTTTTATAACAGAGTATCCATTAGGCGTGTTCTATAAATGTCAGTTAGGCAAATATTAGATTTGCTCAGGAAAATAAATCTTAAAGGTCCTAATAAATATATGTATATACCAGTTGTTCTAAGGTTCTATGAACTTTAATGCTTATTAAAGGGTATATCTGGGTCGAGCATTACGCAACGAAACATATTCTGCATAACTTATTAAAAGATCGTTTGATCGATAGATAGCTTGCTCAATTATCTTTAGATGACTGGGCACAAAACAGGGTATCTACATAAAATCTTTAAAATAAATTTGTTATATTACTAGAAATGATGTAAGAAAATTTAATGCATTTTGTGTATGCTGCAGGATAGCTATAGTTTATCATAACTTTTCTAAATACCTCAGGCACAATGCTCACTGCTAGTTAAAATTAATTTAAAGCAACTTCAACATAACCATGCTAGGAGTCGAGTGCGTGTGGCAACTCTGGCAAGTTGTGGAGATGCATGGGCCCAACACCTGTAATCCCGTTAAAAGCAACGTTTCCCTATTTTGTTAGCACCCAAAATCAGCTGGCCAAATATGCAGCCGTAATGGGAATGTACTCGTAGGCATTATGCGATTTTCAACGGAGCATACCCTGCACTTTCCTGCACACAGAGAGGAGAATACAATTCGGACTCGAATTTTCCAGCGCCGTGCATGTAAATGGCTAAAGTGATGGGAATTTGGCGGTAATTGGTATTTGGTATTGGCGTTTCAGCTTTCAAAACTGGATAAACAAACAGGGGGTGGCCATGCGGCTTGTTGCACTTGTAGTGCCACTTGCTACAAGCGCTGCAGTTGTGGGGCCTGTTGCAAGCTTCAGTTGAAACAATGTAATGATATCCAGCTAGAGAGCTTGTTATCTGGGGCTTAGCCACTACAAGGGCATTGCCTGTAAACGGGGTGGCATTATATGAGTTAGGCTTAATTAAAAATAAACCAAGTAAATAAATAGTAAGGGAGGAATGCTCGAGACAAGCGAGCTTGGGTAGGGGTTGCTATGCAACTAGGACGAGTCCTTGCTGTAGTATACATATTTCTCCTTAATAATCCGATAGCTGCGCTATATGAGTTGTGATATCTAAAATATAGATATGCAGATGATCTGAAAATATACTTGTATTAAAAAGAAATATGAAATAACTGATAATCTTAAATCTTAGTGAGATTATTTTGCATTTGATTAGGGCAATGTATTTATAGATGTATAAATAATTACAATGTGGAATGGTCATTATATTTTCATACTTATATATAAATACTACAAATTGTCGAGAATAAAAGCGGAAGGCTTGATATATCTTTACATCTATATGTAGAGTCGGAAATTTTTCATTTTTTTTCGCACGACTTTAAACAATTTTAAAGGTAATATTAAAAACAATTTTAATTAAATAATAATTATTATAGAAAAAACAATATAACATAAGAAAAAATTGTTCCATACAAGAACCTACTATTTGACCGATCGTTTCTATGGCAGCTACATAATATATAGTAGCCCGATCCGTATGACTGCAACATATGTACTGCCAGCAACAGAAGGACGAACCTATGTAAAGTTTCAACATAGCTTTAAAACACAGGAACAGGCAGATGTACTATATCGGACAGTATCGATAAAGCTATTAATGCATATCTATAATATATACCTGTTTTAGGGAGTCGGAGATGTATCCTTCTATACGTTTCATTTCGTGATAAAATTATTATATCCCATAAAAGGGAATACATATTAATTATATTTATTTAAAATTAACTACAAATCTACTTCAAATTTTATTCTATACTCACGAATCGAATGAATTACGTCTCTTTCGGGCTGTCACATACAAGGAAAAGTTTTCATCATACTTAACACTCCTACATGCTATAGGGTATTTTAAAAGCTTTTTATAAATAATCTATATTATTTTTAGATTTCTTCTAAAAATACGTTTAGCTAGCACACTCTATAAATATTTGCCTGGTCCACGTTTAATCACTGGTCTGGATTTATATCTAATTTAAATTTATGTGGTTCTGCCTAAAGATTTATTTATGTCTGCTCTCAAGTGTACGCAATTGATTAGCATACTTAAATTGCTTTTATTTTTCACCGATTTTAGATGCACTTCCCGCACACACACACACATGCTCGAAAGTCACTCCATGTGCTTGATAAACATGTTCAGGTTGACACGCAACAACAACAACAATAAAAAAGTGTTAAATGTGTTTTACATATTCGATTTGTTACCGAAACGCAACTTTGGCCCACGTTTATCCATCTACTTTGCACCTTAGCGCCGCAAAGCGCGCTACAAAATATTTTGCTTCTTTTTATCTGGCCGGAAATTCACACGTGTGTATGTGGGTGTGCGCGTCCATGTGTGTGTGAACTCGCTGTGGCCTTCACGGCTGTACGGCTGAGTCCTGCTTGAGTTCTTGTTGCTGGTATTTGCACATTGTGTTTGCGGCTCAAGCGCGTGTGGCAACAATCACAAGTGAATTTGATGCCAGAAACGAATTTCAGCGACTGCTCTTGACTGAGTGTGTGTGTCTGTGTGTGTGTGTGTGTGTGTATGATTGTGTGCGTCTCCGTAAGAGTGTGTAAGTGTGTTACACATGCTTGTGTGCATATCGAGCAATAACGATGAGTGAGCACTTGATGTTAGTGCAGCTGTTTTGACCGGCAAAGACCTTGACGTGTCTACAAGCCAAAGCCATTATCGATAAGGATATCACAGGCATCGCTTTGAATGTTTTCATTGCCATTTTGCCAATCAAATCGAAAAAACAATGAAATTTGCTTGTCTAAGTCGCCTCAATGGAAGTGCCCAATTGATATGGTTTGTCATACTATATCAACGTCACGCTAAGGTCTCATTATTTTGTAATCATACCAAAAAAAAAACCACACTTAATCTCATTATGAACACCCTTTAAAAACAGTTTCTAACTACAAACAAAAAAAAAATCCTTTTTTTCTTTTAACTTCTGTAATGGCAAAAAGTTGTCACGCGCGCGTAATTCCGAGCTTCATTGTCACATCGCAAAAAAGGGAAAACAAATGTTAGTTTGCTCAAGGAGAGAGACTAGCAGATAGCCTATACGCGGCTCTCGGTTACAATATACTTTTATTAGAATATGCCGCTAATAAGATAGGCCTGCCACCAATAATTTTTGGATTACAATATTTAGTTGAGAGCGCACGACTTAAAAATGTCCTCTAAGGTTGTGCAAGCAACTCGTACAAGCATCATAGGCAACAAACTTATAATGACAATCAGTTGAAAATACATAATTAATTAAGTAAGTAAGACTAGGAGATACCCTGTACACATGTCTGATACCCATTGACAAGAACAATTGTCGTTTCTTCGTATCTCTCACCATAGATACATATTACTC